CACGGAACGTTTCCGTGGTTCGCCGCACTATTGTATCCCTGCCAACTGCGTGTCGGTGCGTACCAGACAGTCGTTCGACGCTGCCATGGGTTACGCTATGTTTTATCGTAGCATACTGTGAGTAGCACGTTGGCAATAGTGTAATTTTCCTAGTACGTCCACTGACATCGCAGCATTGTGAGTAGCCAAAAATATTATCTGAGTGCTGTGCATCTTTGTGAACTCGGTAAAGAGTAATGTTTATTGTAAATGTTTACTTATGCATATCTGATGTGATTCTTGATATGTTTTGAGATGAATATTTATTATTATATATATTGTTAAAACCATAAACATGTTTTTACTATACAAATAAACTCAACAAAATTAAGAATGCGTATATCGACATCACGTTTTGTTACACGGTGAAATATTTCGTGGAATAATCTAATACGTACTTCGGAGGCTATTCCATAATGGTTACGGGTTTTCAAGGACCGCCAAACGACTTCAATAAGTAACGCTACCGCGCAGATGACGGACGAAAAATATCGTATAACGATAATAATATACTTCTTAATAATTTATGATGCTAACCTACCCATAGTGGTGTGTCTGCGTTTGATGTATTATTTTCGAATGTCTTATTAACGATCTTGTTGTTCCACTGGCACAAGAAAAGGTACTCATTATTTTCATCGTCGCAATATTATGTTAATCACAATACGCTATATTTCCATTACGCTCGTCTTGTTCCCGTGAACACCCGACGTCTCCTTTCGTCCATTCTTGAAACATTGCTCGAAATCGTCATAAATTATTACCCGAAATGTATAAACTATTTTCACAATAGACGCAATGCTTATAAGATCGTGAATATTTTTACTCGTCGGCTGGAAAATGCGCATTCTCTTGTTGACGCGCGTTCGTGGCAGCTGTAAGAGTATACAAAATTCATATGACTTTGACATGCTTGTAAATATAATTAATTTGATCAGATAACTGATCCGAGTTAAGTGGTATATCTGTAATGTATCACCGCGTTATGACTCACTAAAAACGAACGGTTTACCGGTTTAAAAAAAATATAAAAGGTTAATAATATTAAACGTCCACGTGAAATGGATCCAACAGATATTAAAATCATATTTTTCGATATTTCTATTAATACAGAAATGACGCACAACGTTCACGGATGAAAATGAAATAATGCTGAACTACTTGCAGTTATTTAAAAACATTATATATCAGCTATAGTGTCAAACAAATAACAATGTGTAGACAGAAAACAAACAGACGTTTAAAAAATATTCGTGTGACCTTAGTATGCTTACTAAATAACCATGAGGCGCTAGAATGAATATTGAGCATTTTTCCATGAGTACAAAGTTCGTAAAACATCTAATTCGATCCAATACATAAAACTGTGAATTCAAAAAATCACAATCCAAAACTAGATGATTCTGTCGATCAATATAAGTTTTCATATAAATCTTGTTCAACAATATTGGACGAGTATAATGATTATGTTAAGTTTTGAAAATGTATTGGTTCTTGGTTTTCAAAAAATTGCAATTTACAAATTACAACCACCACCTAACATGTATATATCTTTTAATATTGTAAATGTGTCGTAAAAATGATTTTTGAGATTCGATAACTGAAATCTCCTTAAGTTAAAAAAAAAATTTTACTGTATTTATGCACATGTTGTGATGATATATTTTTCACGTTTTTCACAATATTTCTACTAATTCAAACATCTTTCGGAAAAATGCACTTTTCATACGTTATTTATTTAATTATACATTTAAACTGAAATAGTGTTTATTTATATTTTTTTAATAATACAGTAATATTAAAATTTGAAATCTTATATACAATTAGGTCATTTGTAATAACGTACCTAGTTAGTGTTATATTTAACATAAATATGTGTGCACGCATTATTTTTTAATTTTGAATAGATTATTTATTTAATATTTACACGCGAACCAAAATAAGTACTTAAAAATATCCATAATAGCTTTTATGGCCAAAATAAGGTTGTTTTTTTCGACAAAGTAAAAATGGTTAATTATTCGCAGAGTATTTAATACAACAACATATAATATATAATTATATGCCAAAAAAAAACATAGTGCATTTAAAAAGCTCTTATCACATACATAAGTAGTGTTAATCATCGAACCTTGGTAACATTTGAATATAGGTAAAATAAATGTACAATAAATGTAAGTTTCGAAATTTGGTTACGAAAACATTATACCTAAAGTATCATGTGTTTTTAATGATTTTGATCAAAAACAGTCTGTATTTTTTTAAACAGATCGTGTAGCAATAGGATTTATGTAAATCATGACTTCAAAAAAAAAAATAACGAAAACAATAAATAACACGTCTCAGATCGAACAAACATTCGAGTTAGTTTAGGTTAGCACAGGTTGACTGTACGGATTACACTTAACTTCCATGGTTCTACTGAATCCAATCTCTAGTATTAGCGCCAGCGTTTTGAATCAAAAATTATTTACGACCTACACAATCAAATTTACATCGTTACCGCGTGACGCTCCAAGAAAATAATGTAAATATCCATATCGTAGATTATAATTTATTCATACTTAATACCCCGATGACAGTGATAAACGTTTGTACTTCCGACAAAGTGAGTTAATTCGATGTTTATATGCGTTATCTAATAGCGTATTACTTAAATGGCTTACGACGTACTACAAAAGGTTAGAGTAAAAGTACTTCAGGTAATCATACTTGTAGACCAAGGAAAAGCACTGTCACCTACGTATTGTTTAAAATTAATAAACTTTCACATGTAATGTTTATTTAAATTCAATAGTAAAGGACAGTAATCGTAATAAAATTACCATATTATTGAACTGTCTATTTTTCTTCGTCGACTTAATGGACAATTCTATACTGCTTTCAAGTAACTAATATTTAAGTTCTCAGACATTTTTAGTCAGATTATCAAGAATGTTTGTTTTTAACATTTCCATTTAATATAGTTTTAATTTTTCTACAATATCATTAAATTAAATACCCCATTTAATATTGACTGGAATGGATTTCTAAAGTATTAGTTGGTACCTATATAAACATGTCTTCGAATAATTCTCAAAGCACTATAATTTGACACTAACATGACAATCCACTGAGACCTAAAGATCACAGATATCATTCGAATCCACCTCAAACAATTACAATAGATTTTACTCAAAAATAAAATCCAATATAAACCTACTCATCAACCTTTAAAAACCCTACCAGAATATCAAATTTTTAATTCGTCTTATACGAAACTGGTCTTTTGTAATTAAAGCTAATCGATCTTATGTTGGCAGCTATACGTCTTCCTGGTTGAGCAATCAAGTTTAATGTATTCTCTCGTACAATAAAATTACTTTTTGATTATATACTGTATCAGATTGTAAATATTTAAATAAAATAATTTAAAATTTAAAATGCCTGTATGATATAAGTTTTTTCTTTAGTCGCTACAGGTTTCTATTCTCACTTTGACGTCTTATACAATTACGTGATTTGAAGTAACTTAAATGTTTTTAAATTATATTTCGAGCGAGGCTCAGTTTACCTGAAACTTTCAAGATTTGTTAAAAACTAGTTCATTTGTTTAATGCTTTAATTTCTTCAAAGTTTTTCTAAAGCTATTACATGACTTGATATTTAATACACAAATATACACATTAAAAATCGATCATTATAAAGGTGATGTAAAATATATAGTCATTTTTTTTTCTTTTATTCTAAATGTATTGCCTCAACAAATTTTAGCTGACATAAAACCATTTTTTCTTGTTGTAATCGATGGTTCACTATCATTAATTTTTTCTTGATATGTATACTTAAAATTTTACATAAAAACTGTAATTTTAGTGGCAATATCACTTTAGTTCTGGAACAAGACAATAGAAATCAGGTTTTTTGGGATTTGTCACACCTCTAATAAAATAAGTTAACACTAGTTCCTGCTGATATAAATCAGTTCAGCCGTTGTCAAACGTCTGTATTTGTTTCATCATAAAGACATACATCCCATTGTAACTGTATACTAATAGTCCGAATTAGACCTGACACCCCATGATGGATGTAGCTTGCTCACTCGAATAACCCATCTGTATCTAAAATTATAGTGAAAAACTTATTGTTTATATTTTTCCGTCACATTTTTAAACATAAAAACCAAAATATAAATCCTAATCACTCAAATTCATTGTTTTCCTTCTCATTATCCAATAGTCAATAACTAGTTATTCGTAAACATCGTCATAAAAATTACTAATTAGAACAATATATTACTCCATATATAACCATTACTATATATATATATATATATATATTACATATAAAGTTATACATTACATTATGATTTATGAAAAAAATAAAAAGGAAATTTATTAAAAAATATTAAAAAAAAAATAATTTTAACACGAATGTAAATTGTTTTATATTTTTTAAATACATTACATTTTAAATTACTTCACATAGAAGCTACACATTTTATCATTTTTAACTATAATTTGACAATATATTTTGAGATCATAGTTCTATTTTGATAGACTTATTTAAACAAAATGAGTAGTTGATAAAAATCCTTAGACTAATCCCTGATTATTATTTCTTTCATTGAGCAATATTTAGCAATCATTAATAATCGATAAAAAAAAAATAAGCAATGACTATGAAAAAAAAATTACTTGGTATTTATTTTATCAACATATCTATTAATCTTTTAATTCCTTATTTTATTGTATTTTTTTAGTAATAGTTTATTAAATTGATAATTTACTCGTATAATACAAATTTTTGTATATTTTTAGGACATAAAATTATTTATGTAATTATTTCAATTTATTTCTATTATTGGCCTAGGTATAATCGATATAATTCCTAGCCTCAACTATAATGCAATAAAATTATGATTAAAAATATTTAAACCGTTATAGAAATTCAGTTTTATCAAAATATTTTGAAAAACTTACAATATGTGTCTTCTATTAGTTTGTCAATTGTATCTTGCTTCAGTTTTGAATTTCTTTTGCCCATGCTTTCTTTTTCTTATCCACACGTAGGCGTAAAGTACCAATCTCCTTGCATCTGTTGTTACTAGATTGTAGTCTCGTTACTAAAAAATCAAAACGCAAATTGAAGTTATTTAGTGTATAAATGTTATACACTTTTTAAAGTAAATTTTGAAAAACCATGTACCTATGGGATTTTTATGTGGAGAATAGGAAAATAAAACACCTAGCTTAATGATTTTATAGTTAAAATAAAAATTTTGGTATTTATAATTATTTTTATATTCCAAAATTTAATAAGCATAAGAAATTAATTGATAGTTTTTAGATAGTTTTTTAAATGTATTTTTTTTTAACTGCTATTTTAGAAAAGTACATGTTTAACAAATCTGAATTTTAATTAAAAATTAAAAATATTTAATTATTTAAACCAATCATCCGTGAATAAAATAAATAATCAATTCAATGCCCATTCAAACGTAGCATTATTGAAATACGAAAATTTTTACCGTATTATTCATTTATTTTATTTTTCATTTATGGAATATAATAAAAAAATAACTAGAATAAATCCATTGCTTCTAGTATTGTTTTTAATTAATACATATGATATTACAATAATTTGAAGGTATATTAAATTGGAATATTCTAATTTTTCACTTAATTTTAACAATTTTATAAACATTTTAATATTATTAAATAGTAAAATAAATAATTAATAATGAGGTGGCCATAAATATACGATGGTTGAAGTTTAATGTAGTTACCATGACTTAACTTGATTTTGTTTATAACAAGACCATTTGTTCCTAAAAAATTCGATTTCAAAAAAAATAAGCTTAGTCGTTAACACGAAAAAACTCATTAATATATCAAAATACAAATGCATGTTTTGATAGTTTTATCATATTTTCTCAAATTCAAGTTTTCTGTTCAACCATATGCTTGTAAACTTTTTTCGTATTTAGTATTAAATCACCTAATAATATTTTAGATTTATGGAGTATTTTGATTCTTTTGATATAATAATAAAATATAAAATATGATACAAAAATATTAATATCCTGCTTTTTTTTAATTATTTTTTTTATTCAAAAAAAATATCAGTTTAAAAAAACATTTTTTTAGTGTATTATTTATTGTGCGCATGTTATAAATATAGAAAAATAATGATTTACTTAGTTTAAAGCAGGTTTTTTTTAAGTTTAGATTGCCAATACTGAGGGAAAAAATGTAATATGATTGATCGTATACACACGTCCAGGCTTTAAATATAATCATATTTTTCTCGAAACAAATATAATAACCAAACAGCAATAAATAAAAATAAAAAAATTAATTCAAATTGCATTTTATATTCTTTAATCTTGTAGTATAGATGTAAAAAGGATCTTCATAAATGTAAAATTAAATTATTTTGTCAAATGCATGAATAGTTGAATGATCAAAGTCTTAACTTTTTTCTATAATCGGGTTTATTTTTGATTGCTTGAAGTTCTAACGATTTGTAGTTTTTTCTTGACAATTTAGATTTTACTATTGTATAATGAAAAATAACGTAAATATAAATATCAATTAACGAAACAGAATTCAACGATTCATAAAAGTATACTGTATCAATAAATTGTATTATGATTACGAAAGCGAAAAGAGAAGTAAAAAATAATTAATTTATGTTATTTACACCTAATAATTCTTAATAATATTTCAGTTAATGAGATTTAAAAAAAAAAAATTATATTAATTAAATGTTTAAAAAGTTGGACATTACCGCTATTTATATTCAACATTTTTAAGTCTTAAGTACAAGACATCTTAAAAATAATTAAAATTAAATATTTTAATAAATAAGCTGAAGTTATAAATTAATTTGATAACTAAGTTGTTATTGTTCTTTTTTTTTTTTTAAAAATTTTATATACTTTTCAATCATTTAAATTATAAAAATACAGAAAGTTAATAACTTAATTATTCACTTTTTACTAATGTAACAATAATAAGAGTTGAAATTCAGCTATAATTTTTAAAACATTTTAGAAATAGAAATATTTATACTACCGGTTTATTATGTTCACATTACGTTAAAACATGATTAAAAGAATGAAATAAGTATATGATAATCGCAATATCTATGAATATTGTACAAGAACTATTACGTATGCAAATATTACAGCAACGCTAACCTGATTTGGTTTTAGGTAATAAACAATAAATGTGGGCGTACCCGATTTAAACAGGTATATACCGTAATTAACGAAATGAAGTAAGTAAGTTCTTGTTTCTGAAATAATTTATTAGTGTTTCAGTAGAAATTCAAAGTTTCTTGATGAACCAAGTTTACTGTTTGATGTACTACTCCGATTATGGCCCTGACCAAAGCGATGCGTATATATATTTTCTTTAATTTGTTCAAATGCCACCATAACCGGGTTGAAAGTTGATTCGATCGACCCATATTCGATTAGCTTACTGATTACATCGATGATTTAACTAGTTTAAATAACTTATTACGACCGTTTCGCGGTGCCCGGAGTTAAAACTCAAAATATTTCACGATTGAAATATCAGAAGGAACAGGAATTCGTGTACAAATTCGTCACGACCATTATTCCGGGAAGCGATTAATACTATTATTTAGAAAATTAGGCGTTTATTTTAATTTTTTTTTTTTTTAGTCACTAAAAGTTCAATGTTGTTCAACGTTGACGTTACGGACCCGTATGACATTTTTTCCCGCACGGATTTTATTATTCGTGTTGATCGGAGTCAACGGTTTTCGTTACGATACCCCACCCCACCACACCCCGTCGGACGATGGTGATCGTCGACTCGTCGACGCAACGTCGTACCCGTACCGATTCGCGCCGGGGACGAAAAATGAAAATAAAATGTACCTTTCGTTCCGGGAACACGGGATCGGCCTGCAAACGGGTTCGGTTCGCGACGGGACGCGTGGGCCGGATGAACTCGATCGGAATGGTAGCGGCGCGGTGGACGAGACGAGAAGATCGCCGCGGGCTGACGTCGGTCCCTGCACGCGGCACAGCGGTTTTGACACGTTCGCCGTGAGTACGTCGCGTTGGCGCAACAATGCGTGTGGACTGGTGCGCCCGACGGTCGGCAACGGTCGGCTCGGACGGTTCGGCTGCTTGGCGCGCCCTCGCGACTTCCAACCGCCGCCGCGGCCGTGTGCACGTGGCGCGCGACGACGTACCTACCCGACGACGGGAACCGCATCCGCGTCATCCGGTACACCCGACCAACCCGGTGTTCGACGTTTAACGCGTCCGGGGCTCGGATTTCGAAACTCGGATTCACAGACCTCGGAACCGCGGATTACCGGTGTCCGAATTTCGCGTTTAACGTTATGCGTGTATGGCGATTAAGAAATGAACTGATCGCGTCGGCCGTCGAAACTTGTTTGTTGGTCATCATCTGCTGATTACATTTTTAAGGATCTGAATTCCGAGTCCAGAACGGATTTTCGAACTCTGGCGAATCAGGAACTTTTCCGGCACTACGTGTCAGGTCGCTCGAGCGTTTTATCGACGGACGTCGTGGCGCACCGTTGTCGAAACGCACTATGATTGTACCTAGCAGCCGCACTTACGACGACCGCTGGGTTTACGGTTCGTTCGATTTGCTTATCGGGTGCTGTAGGTTATTATTAGATTCATTTGTCGAAGACGGACGAACGTTGTTTTGACGTCCGATCTTGTACGTTTTGCAGTGTTTTTCGCCTGTAGAAGGTGATGTATTATCATCATCTCGAATTAAATTGTTTATACTTAAACTGGAGTAATCATTTTCAAAGCGGTATTCGCGAAAATCGTAACCTCCTCGTCATCCATTTTCATGATAACTGGCGTTGTCCCCCTAGCTATTGTGACCGGAAAAGTAACGTCCGCTAACGAAACGCTCGTGTGACCTTACGCTACAACGTACCCACCACGCAGCAGCCGAGAGACTCCTGGAGAGGTTCGTTTGTCCGACAAACCTTGGACGGCTCGCGAAGGTCGACTGAAATAACGGAAACGGGTTCCCGGAGTCCGCTGTTGTACTTCAGCGTGCTCGCCGATAAGTGCGGCCTGTCGACACGGAACAAACTCCCGACGGCGTCTCCCAATATGATATTCGATGTGATCGTCCCGAGAGCGAACGCAAAAAAAAAAAATTGTCCGCTCATATGCGTCCCGAATTAAAAATTATATCGTTTTATTGCGTGACCCTTTTGCGTTCAAACTCGTTCTGCATCGCGATGCGTTTGTACCGAGCCAACTGTATTGCACCCTGAAATATCGGTTTTCCTTGTTTTCTTCGAAAAAAAATATCGTATTATTAGGTTATTGATAAAACTTTTGTTTTGTTTCTCGTTTGTTTTTTTCTAAAAGAAAAATTATGATTTCAGTTAAAATAGTTTAGTCTTGAAACCACGTTTTATAGCTGCTGATAACCTAAACTGCCTTGTCGTGTTAGTTGATCGTACTATTAGACAACATCGACATACGCAATATCTAATATTAAAGTATAATAAAAACTAGGCGAAACGCGACTGAAGACGTCGTACTCATGTTTTAACGGACCTACGTTTCGACGCGTATTTGATATATCTTCCAATTATCAGTGACATACGTTGTGAGTGTATATGAGCGATTAAAGACATATTATTTTGACGACTGGACACACTCGTGCGGCGCTTGTTTGCAAGACACTGTTTGATTCGATATCTTTGGATCGCAAGTCCTTTTCCGACGTGCCACTTGTAGAAGTATCATTGAAAAACGTACAGTTTGGGGATGTTCGATTCTAGTAAGTAGACGATTATCAAAAGTAAAACACTTGATTACTAAACGAATAAAAAATTGTTTAAACTTTTGTGTTGTGCGTACAGTATTCATTTTTTCAACGCCAAGCATTTTTCGCTAACCCGACGAGTCGTCCATTCATCGTCGGATCGTCACCATTCCTACGCTATTGCATGCGTTCAACTCGAAATCATTTAGAATAAACGACCCCCCCCCCCACCCCCTCGTATAAAGTAATCGTTGTCGAGGCAACGCGTGTATATCTCTGTTTGTAGAGTTGTAGGATGAATGCCTTCGAATGAGAACATATAACAAATTACTTTCAAATATATCTTTTAAAAATTGAACGATTTCCTCGAACCCACCACACTTGCAGACCATTTTCGGTAAAATAATAATTTTTATAATACGGCAGCGTGTACTACCCCATGCATGTCATGTCCATGTGATAACTACGAGTATATCATGTGTACCGTCATTAATATGCATTCATAGGCATACGCATGGTGGTTGCCGGGTGTGCTTGAGCACCCCCCGAAATGTTGTAAATGGAGTCCTACTATGTCTAAGAGTAAGAGGCCCGTCTTTTGACTGATAATGCTCAAATTAAAATATATTTATTCTAAAATTTTTGGTATAAAATAAATTATGTTTTGTAATAGAAAATTTTTCTAAATTTTCGTGTTTATCTTATTATGTTAATACAAGTATAACAGTTAACAAATACGATAAAATATACGATTTTTAATTCACATGTAGTTGCCTACTAGAAACTTTCATATCAATGTGTGAATTAGGTTGTCGCGTCAATCGCGTCCGAATCGGATGCATGGAAGAATATTAAAAAAAACAACCACGCCAGCCTCTCCAAAGTTTCTATATGTGTATTCATCCACTATCAAAACAAAACTTATTTAATTATGACTTACTATAATTTCACATGCTGTAACTTATAGCACCATGTGCGTTCTAGTATAACGCATTCGTGATATGTACGATTCAGTTGTTACCTATTTATACGTAAATTCTTGGCTGTATTAATTATTCACAGTTAAGAAAAAAAAATTTCATTCAAATTTTCTAGTAAAAAACCAACTTTATTCAATTAGCCTAATATGATTAATATCTTTTTAGATTGAATATAAAAGTTGCTCAATTATAATCAAAATCAGCCAATCGTAATGTCTAATCAAATATTTAAAAATCAAAACGAGCCAATAATTTTTTGTTAATTCAAATAATGTATTATTCACTATAAAAAAAAAATATTGTTTAATAGACGCTCTTTTTTAAATATTATTATTTAATTATAAAACAAAATTTATTAGTAAATTATATTTAAATAATCACAAAAAATTAGCTAGATCTGCATTTTTTTTTATTGTTGAATTAACCATATTAAGGTTTTTAAATTAATAAAAAGTTATTAAAAAAAAAGTTTCTTAATTTTTTTTATTAAATTTTGTATTTACGTAATTCAAATGGATTTATGATAATATTTTATAAAAGTAGATGACATTTATTTTAAGTATAAAAATAAATGTATATAAATATTTTATGGTTTTTCTTCATCAGTTAGGTATTAGTTAGTTATCAGTTAAATTGTGTGTAATATTTTCATAAAGCACTTAGCTTGTTGAATATTTAAAATAAGGTTATTTTTATATTCAAATTTAAAAAAATACTATCTAGGAAAAAATAAAATAAAATAAACTTTAATAATTAATTTGTGTTTTAATCACGAATTTCATTTATGACAGAAATTTAATAAATAGGTTAATCCAATATCATGAACCATTTCCAATTAAAATTTACATCTTATACAAAATTATTGTACCCAAGTTCAAGATTTATAGATTTGAAGCAAAAATAAATATTTTATTTATTTATTTTTATTTTATTTTATTTATTTATTTAATTGTGTTTTCTCTGGAATGTTATAAAAGTATAAAATAACTTTCTTTCAGGACAATTTTACGTATGTCCAAAGCTCAGTGATTAAATTGAATAATAAAAAATGATTTAGTTTTAGGGTTTTAATAACAATATAATCATATAATAAAGCTATAGAACAAAATCATAAAACATCATACGTTGTCTCTAGAAGGACAATGACAATTGTTTCCTATCTTACTTTCCGTTTCTTGTTCGATAGCCGTAGATGGCCGTAGAACTTTCGATGTAACTACAGACGGTTCTGTGCTCCTGGATTTATCGAAATACTCCGGCATACATGTTTTAGTGGGCTTGAACTTTGAGTAATTATATCCAGGTAACTTGGTCGTCGTAACTGGGGTTACTTTCTTGGTTGTAAAATCTTTACCAAATTCCGAATCACCCAGTCTCACAGATGACGCATTGATACTGCCGATCACATAAATATTTTTGATTCTACACGATATCTTTAGCACGAACGAGGAGTTATCGGTTCCGGCTGAAAGTCCATTTAATCTGTTTATCAATTTCTCTACATACTTGATAGAACCGTCTTGTTCCGGGCAAGGTATCTCTACCTCGGATACACGGTCGTTGTTCGATTTCATTCTGGAAATAATAAAAACGGATAATCGTTATTACTTATTTTTCGAACTGCAGTATGGAGTACAATGTTTCGAGTTTAATCATAATAGTTGTTGGTTATACGACAGTAACATGATTTTTATTTATTCCTTAGTGATATTGTCGTTTTAAAAGCAATTCGCGTAAAATAGATTACGATACACTATCCATAATAATATTGTGATACTGTAACGTACTTAATATAATCATCACCGATTGGACGGCCAAAAGTTGTGTAGAACAAACAACAAATAAATACAAAACAGTACAACCATGGACGTATGATTATCATATTTCAATTACTTACAAAATGAATCATTAAATATTAATATCATGTTATCGAACAACAATCACAAAAAAATACAGTAAGTACGGTAAACAAGTAATGTTTCCACTGGCTACGGTTTTAAAATCAACGAATAAGTATCGGTAAAAGATATCGAAGACCCATGTATGGATATTAAAATCGAATCGGATAAATGTATAATGTACCAAATATTAAAAAGTTTCTCAAAATCATTTAAATTTATATTAAATTATAAAAATTTTACTGTTTAATTTAATTTTCATTGTTCGATTTTGCTCAATTATTTTTTGATCGATGCCATAAAGTATACATACATCTTGAATACGAAACATTTTCTAAAGAGGCGTTGTTGCATTTTGAACTCATTATTTATATATACTGATAAGTCTAGCGTTTTAATATATTTACTCCGTTTGTAAAGTATTTTGGTATACAAATAAATTATTCAACATCCATAAAATGTGTCATGAGAAAAGTTTTTTTATTGTATAATTTTTTTTAACGTTCTTATTTATTGAGTTTGAAATCTTAAACATGATTTTTATTACTATAATGAAATACATGATTTATTATAAATTAACCTGAAATGTATTACTAATTAATGGTTTATACGTAAAAGTCAAACGAAAAATATTGAAAAAAGAATATAAGCGCGCACAATACCTATTTAAATACTATTATTATTATGTTAGTAATTTATAATGGAGATGTAAAATATACAATTTTTTTTTTTTTTATTATTTTTTTTTGTAATTTACCGAGAAAAATGTATGTTAATTTACTGTATGTTTTGTAAATTTTTTTATGTCATTATAGAGATAGACCTATGAACTCCTCGCTTCCTCTTTTTTCATGAACTTATAACTATTTCAAGGCTTATTTTTATATTTTTATTTACTGAATAGTAGAGTGTTCATGATACTAAAAGTTTAACATGATTTTATGAAATTTTTATAAAACATAGATTCATACTATATCTACAAGTATGCTGTTAATATCGATAATAATTTATGGTATAAGATATGTTATGTAATATACTATCAATAATTGTGGGCATGTTTGACGTTTGACGTTTTAATTTTTATAATATCAACTATTCCATTCTATTGATATGTTATGAATATTCACCTCGTTCAAACGTATAATTTAAGGTGTCACATGCTAATTTTTTCGATAAAAAATATTTACTTGTAAAGAAACAATTGGTAAATTAATGTGTTAAAAATTTACCCAGTTTAAATCTCTATTCTATAAAGACAACAAGACGATACCACTTCAGTGACAAACGACGTTGATGTACGAATATTGCCAGTACGAAACGCCGTTCAACGATTTATGAGGTGATAGTCGTATAACGACGTGAAAGATTCATGTGATGTTACTTGTGATTTTAGTACTTATCAAAACGATACTTCTGAATCTAATTTTGTTCTATTGCATTGTCAAATTCAAATCGTTTTAGTTTATAGGTATCCATCAGCAGTAGAAATCGTTCAAAAAATCTCGATGACGGATTTAACGTTTCAGTGCAGCAAGATGATAATGAGCGTTCCATATTCTTTAAAAAAAAACCTCAATATTTTCGATACATAAATATTTAAAAACTATATTTTTTATAGATAAAACATTATTATTTGAATGAAGAAAATGGGAAAAAAATAACAATAAGTGAAAAATGCTAACCTAACCGTCAAAAAAATCTCTCATTCAATACAAAAAAAAAATTATTATTATATGTTATAATTAATATTCATTGCGTTATATTATAACGACAGTACGTTATTATATTTCATTTTTGTATTGCGAGTTATGTTATCCATGTCCAAAATGGTTTTTTTTTGCTTTCTGTTTTTCTGTGGGTCTATCCAAATCATTTGTTGAAATTAGGTGTTTCTATTTAAAAAAAAAATCTAAGTTGTATTACGCATAACAAAACATAACAAAAGGGTTAAACATTTGGAAATTGTAAAAAAAATATGTATTTCAACAGTCGCGAACTATTTAAAAATACCACACTTCAATCCAATGTCACTGGACAGAATAATTTAGTGTTACCTTCAAAAATAATTACACTGTATATGTATAAATATTATTGACTGTCGTTTTTTAGACCCGCGCAGAAAAACAATTGGTTAGAGTCTTTGTGAATGATCGATTGACAATAATACTAATTATTGTTCGGCGAGTAAATATCGTGATTATCAATGCGATCTCGATGTACGTAACCGAGGCAGCAAGTGCACATACAGAACTGAATTAAGCGACAATTAGAACTCAAGTGGTACCATATGATTTCCATACCATTTTGAACGTCACACGCATAATTGCAAGCAATAAATAATTATGTAAATAAATATACAATGTATGATTAATATTTTATATGAGTAAGTTGTTGTTGAAAAAAAAATCACTGATTCTCGGAGCAATCAGCTACGATCGACCGTCGCCGATGAGACGTAATTGTTAATAGTGTTAAGAATTTATTTTTATAAGCGTATAATTAATTGCAGTAGGTTTTAATGTATGCAATTGCTTTGAGCCAACGGTCGAGCGAGAGAACTTTTCGAAAAATCCTAAAGAGGACGTATTTCAAGCACTGTGAGAGGTGTAGAGACCAAGTTCTTACACACCGTTTTAAGCTTTGCATGACGTGTATGGTTCGAGACACTCAAAAATCAGCTGTTTCCGTTTGTGCATGGAGGTGAGAGTAGGATAAAATGAGAAGCAGAAAATTGTGATTTTTCCCCCGGGCCCAGAGTTTGCGAATCGCGACAGAGCAATTATATTATTATAGTGCCTATGTACACGTCTGTGTGTGTGTGCGTGTGTGTGTTTGTGAACTGTTTTGATGAAAAAATATCACCTCCGCGACGGTGAAAAGTTGTTACTGCGACTTACCAACACAAGCGGATCCGTAATAATTAACAATTCCGTTTGCTCAATGCTAGTGGGTACAAGGTACCTGCAGCAGCAGATTTAACCAAGTTTAGTCCCTGGCGTGTACGCGAAACGACTCTTCCGGATTAACGTAATAACGCGTACAATAATAGCTTATAATAACGCCATGCCAAGGACTACGAGACGGAAATCAAGAAACCCATTACGAGGCGCGCACGCGGGCATTTGAACGACCTACCTTGTAACTCCTCGGTCATTTGAATATTACAATAATATTTTGATGCACGAGCACGAATACTGCGACTCGGATACGAGTATAACGTATAGTATTAAATGAATGTTAATATTGTCACTCATCTCACAATTACCTCTACGTAAATTGATAATTGTAATACCATGATCCAGATTTAACGTTTGTACGCATGTACGTATAACATGTAATGCCTTTTTTATCGAAATATTATATTATTTCAAACTCGCAATCGCATATTACAAACGATTAAGCCTTTCAAAATCAGTGTACGCCTTTTTGTGAACTTGAACGGTATGAGCGAGAAACACTATGATTAATTATACATTTTATTTTTATAAGTATTATTATACTGAGGTCAGTGGCGCACACAGGAAGGGTCAAGGGTATCGACTGACATCCCTCAGAAAATTGGTGGATGGTTAGTTCTGTGTGAACTTGTATAAATATTTGTTTAATTTAATACTAATTTTTCAGCTATCCAAATCAGCATACTAATATTGTTTATTCTAGAACTAAAGCGTCACATTAGAATAAGTAGTAGGGCTCAATCCCAAAAATTATGCTATACAATAATTATTATGCTATACAAACTCATAAATTAATACCCAGAAAATTGAAAAATAATTAATATTAGGTTTATTTTAAAAAATTTTATTTTTAGTATCTTTGTTAGTAAGAAAAAACCAAAAACATTTAAAAATAAGAGTTATACTATCCCTAAACTCAGACTGATGGGGTTGGGTAGGTACCTCGAAATATATATTTTCAACATTCTTGTCAAAAATCTTCTGTGCGTCACTGACTGAAGTGTTGTTTGTGAACCAAATACTTATTGTTTTAAGTAATAAATGGTATATCATTCAATAATAAAAACAAAGTATTACCATTATTATTCTTACCGTTCTTCCTGAAATGACACATTTCGTACACACGCGTGTAAAACAAATACGAGTAAAGGCTCTATCGTTTTCTCCGATTAGCTTAAATTACCATGTATACCTACTGCAGTGTTGGTATGCACTGCGATCAGTGTCGTATTATAGGAGGAAGGTGATAAATGGATCCACCCCTTTGAGATTTTCATAAATACATTTTTCCTATAACTTAATACAATAGACTGTATATTTTTTTTTTTAACTCTTATCTAAAATGTTGAACAAACAATAATTTGTTAAGAAACAGTGCTACTTGGTTATATTATATTTGAAATATTTTGAGAGCCGATTAAAAACTAAAGTACTTTAACTCGTTGCCACGAAAAGTGTAACATATGTGTAAATCAATCATCATCAGTATTTCATAAATGCCATGTAACAGGGATGGACGATTGGCGGCCCACGTACCTTTTTTATCTGGCCGGTGTTTCTTATTCAATTTGTTTTGTATAAAATGCAAAAATATATAAAAATATTTCATTAAATCATTCGTAAAACGTATACATGAATTCTTATCTAGAATTGAACTGAAACTAAATTATTAAATGTCTAACTATATAGAAGCAGAGCGAACATAGTAAATAAGTATTTATTTAATTTAAATTAATACTCGTAAATTAATGAATTCATCAGTTTAATTGTATCCACTGTATCACGCTACTTAATTTCATTGTTTTAATTATTTTTGTGTTTTGAAGGGTTTAAAATATGTACGCTAAAAAATGTAAAACCAACGATAAAAATTTAACTTTTAACAGTTTATAAGAGAATAAATATTATTTTATTATTAAAAAATAAAAAACTCAATGTTTAGTTTGTTGAAACATTATTGCGTTATCATTTTTTTTAAATTGTATTATTTAAGTTTGGACATGAGACTAAAGTAATGAGACTAAAAGAAACAAAAGCAATAAGAGTTGTTATGAAAATGAACGTTTAAGAAAAAAGAGGAAGAGGATGACCAAAAAATAGATGGTACGATACGATTGATAATGATATTACGGCCGTTGATGTGTGCGTAGTGGATGTAGAAATCAAAACGAGTGGAAGTTTAAGACAAGAGTAGTCGACCCTAAATACGAGTAGTTAGGATATAAAGGCGAAGGCGAAGAAGAAGAAGAAGATTATTTAGTTATCTAAAAGAATACAATTTAAAAAAAACATCCCGTGATAAATAATTCGTTTAAATATGAAACATACATCGGTATCGCAAAGATAAAGTGTTGTAAATGATCTTAAAAGAAAACTCCAATCTCAACAAAATATAATAATAAAAGCAAAAACTTCACAACAATCAATTATAATGGCATCATAAATTATTTATTATGAAATATTTAAATCTTAGAGATCGAAGAATGATGATAAATTTATTAAAATCAATACAGTAAAATGATTAAATCAATAAATGAAAACAAAAAGGCAAGTGAATTTAAAAAAATATCACTTTCAAGACACATTGAGATACCTTGTACAGTTGAACATAATAGTAACATTCGTAAGACATTGGAAACTTTGATGAAAAATTATGCATATTATTCAATAGCATGAGAAGAAAGCACATATGTTACAGATGTAAGTTAATTTTTAATTTTTATTAGAGTTATTTTTTCATAATTCAAATTTCATAAAAAAACTATTAAAATGTAGTTCCTTGCATGGAATCAACAAAACAAGTGATACATTTAATACTGTAAAAAATGCAGTTAAAATAATTGGTGGATTTAAAAAAATTTCATCGGCTGTGACTGATGATGCAAAATCAAAGGTAAGAAAAAAATATTGGTTTTAATGCATTATTTCGTAAATATAATAGTAAAGTTCCTGTAATCCATTGAATTCACCAAAAACCGTTGTGGGTAAAATATTGATACTTCATCGACTCATTGCACACAAAATGCCTTCTAAATCTCATTAAATTATTTTTTTGTCACTTTCGAGGTATTTTAGAAGCAAAGTTCGAGTGATATTATGTAACTAAACTCGAATTTCTTTCCATAACATAATTTTGACATTGATTTCGATGGTTTCGATGGTATTAATCGATATTGAAAAAAAAATGAATATACTATGATGAAACTTATTATAAATTCTAAATTCTATAATTGTGATCTAAAAAAAGTTAAATGTGTTGAAGTTAAAAGCTGATCGTGGGTGATAAAATAATTTAAATATATGAAACGTTTCTATATGAAAACGTTAGTATGTATATAAACTTGAGTATTTTAATGTACTAAGTATCATTATAGTTCTTAATACGTATTTGGTAATTACTGATTTAGTACTATATACAAATTGGTTAAATCGGGAAATGTGTCATGAATATTTTATATTTTTTTAAGAAAAGAAATATTAAAATGCCTTAAAATTCTTGAAATTACAACTGATACTACTTATTTCAAAAATCAAATGGTTGATAAACAATTTCTATATTCATTATAATTTTCAACTGATTTTTATCAATATTAAAAAAAAATAAATAAATGTTTAACTTCAAAGTAAAAAAAAAAAAAAACAATTTTTAAAATTAGGTAATTAGGTTTTAATATGGATTCAAAAAAAAAAAAATTGGATATGTTTAAACATGCAAAAGTTAAAAAGAAATGATTACATTTTCTATGTTGTTAGGTTATAAAAATATAATTTAAGAAAAAATTTAATTTTGAAAATTGCATTACCCATTTATATAAAGTAACTATAAAATTCAAAAGACTATTTGAAGATATTGAACTTATACGTCCTTGAATAAATGTATTTAATAATCCTTTTACTGTTGAAATTGAAAATCTACATGCTTTAATTCAATTAGAGTTATTTAATTTCAACAGATCCATTTCTATCTTGAAAAGAGATAAATGTGTTGTTTTGGAAAACATTACCAGATGAAAAATAAAAATTTCTACGAAATTTTGCACTAAAAACATTATCGATGTTAGGAATTACTTACATATGTATATTTTTCAATATGAAACTCAATAATTTAAGGAAAAATTACCTAATAGATGAAATTTTAGGACATTAATTACCTGTTTCGACTACAAACTATAAAACACAAGGAATTAATAGAAAGTTGATTACAAACTATTCCAATAAAAGGATTTAAAATTTGATTTCAATTAATTTGTTCTCAGGGAACTGATCATTTTTGTATACATGCATATAAAACAAATATGAGTAAAGCTTTGATAAGTTTTCTCAATTTGTTTATATTACTAGATTTACCTATTTCAGCGGAAATATGCACCGTGACGATATATAATTAACTAATTGCAATTGCTCCGGTATAATGATTAAAAAAATAAAAATAAAATTAAAAATACTTTAAGTGATAAATAACGCGTTATGGTCTACTGCTAACGACTGGTTTATACTAATAGTCGCTCACACGATAACTTTGAATCCCACATCTGTGTTTTCGTAATGGAATATCATCGTCGTTGAAATGTGTGTGTGTATGTGTATGTGCTTTCTGTAGAATTAATTGTATTAGTTTGTTACTAATAGTATCTCGACAGTGTAAAATATTTTCTATATAGTAATAGAGATAAAAAGAAGTATGAAAATCATTATTTACTATTGACAAATAAATTGTATTTAATAATAAAGTGTAATGGCATTTAGTTTTATAGAAAAATGTAAAAATTCAATAGAACTTAATTTAACCACATTAATCTGTAAAAGTAGATAATATGCGTGTATATCGTACGTCACGTGATGATTGATGGTCTGTTCGTATTATAATCGAAGAAATGCATTATAACACAGCGACAAACACTCCTGTAATGTTAGATTATGTAATATTAGTGTACATAATTACATATTGTTATATTCTAATGTGAGATACTATATTTATTATTTTCCAACCATATTTTTAAAATTGATTAAATCATTTATCATATCGAATCAATCATAAAGTCCTATATGAACTTTAACGGTGATCTTACCATATCAATCATTACGTGCAACATTAAAAAAGTCTTTTGAAAACCTTGATTATTTTTAGAGAATGAAATCACTCTATGAAAATATGTTGTGTTGAGTTAGGTTGTGTCATCATAAAATGTCAAGTTATTTAAATTTTACTATATATGTATGATGTAATTTATATTTTATACATGTTTTAGACAGTGAGAATTTAAAAATATAATTTTTTGAAGTAAGAAAATACAAGAGGAACGTAATATTTTCTCGAGTTATTGAAGTTTGAGATAAAGTAACAGCACAGTTCTCGTGAATATTATACATACATGTTTACATTCGATTCATTTTTATTAAAAATATATATATATGATATTCATATGGTACCCTCTTTATCAGTGATCCTTTTATTATAATACAATAACCCATCAGATATAAAGTATCTAGAGTTTTATACTTTCAGAACATTTTTTAGTACCTAATCACATTGCCAGACCAAATGAATTGATAATGTTCGACAATTAAATATTTGCCTTAAATTAAATAAATCTCCATGGTTTATAAATATGGTGTTCATTAGATGTACGTAGTTAACTTGTCACCATTGTTTATAGATTTCTCACATTTGCTGTCAGTAGTAAAATAGCGAGTCTGAAAGAAATTTATTTTTGCGGAACTCTATTGCTTCAATGATACAAACATGACGAACTGAATGACTCTAGTGAAATTGAAACACTAAATGGATCAACGCATCCGCGTGTATTGATAATAACTTATGCAGAGCAACTATGAAACAACAATATGTACATAATGTCTGAGTAAATTTTGCGTCATATGCGAATAATATTTTAGTAAAATATTTATTTTTTTTTTTTTTTGTACAAGTGATTTTTAATTTGTAGTGAAACAAAACTCATATAAAGGGGGTTCACTTATAGAGTGCCTACAGATTATCGGCAAACGTAACTACGTAACGTTCATTTTAAGGGTGAATATTATGATCCCATCGGTGTTTTATAACACGCTACGTATTGTAGTATTACGTAGGTGGTACCTAAAAAAATGCATTAAGTTATTTCTTTACATGCATAATACATTTTACCGATCATTATTTATGATTAATAATCTATTTAATAAACGTAAAATGGTTGTTTATTTATTTTTTTATATTTGATTCGTATGTCGATATCATAATATCCGCCATGTTCACGAGAACTATGAATAAATGCATTAAAAAAGAAAAAAACGATGCAAACCCTCCGACAAATCTGGAACGACCAAATGAACCGGTAAAATGATAACTTGATCCGGCGTATTTATAATTGTAATACGAAACCAAGGGGCTTTCGCAACAATTTCTGAAACTAATTCGTTGCAATGTTTCCGTAGTAATGGAAACGTTTTCGAGCATGGTTACGAATTGTGTTGAGGGACATATATTTATATATAAAATAAAAATAAAACAAAAAGAAGAAATATAATACACAAACAACACACATACACACAAACATAAATACACTATACGTACAAGTATCGTTGCATGCGAACAGTTTTCGTATACGACCGGAAAAAGAGGTCTCGTCTCATAATCTTTACAGATTTGATTTGGATGTTTGCAAAATGACCATTACGTACACCGACCAGGTTGCCACGTGCCGTGGCCTGGGATGTTTTTGGAAATTACTTTTTCGGTAATTCCGTTGTTTAATATGCAATGTAACACGTATGACACACATATTCATAGTGGCGAAACAAGTAAGATCTTTCACACGGCCATTTGGACCGGTTCGGTTCGCGCGGGTACGATAAAAATACACACCTTCGTCGAAACGAAGAATTGAAATCGACGGGCACATGTAAATTCCACCCAAAATGAACTACAGGTAAAATAAGCTACATGTAAATTCCGCCTGAAAAAAAATTAATAACACATCCTACGTATAACTTATAAGTTTTTTACTTTAGATAATTTAAAATGGTCTAATACTAAACGTATATTTCTACGTTCTGATTTTATAAATTGAGCCATTGTAGCATTTAAGACTCTAGGACGTGTACTGAGCACAATTTATGATATTTCTATCTGATGTTTCCAATTATTAGATCCACAATATGTGGCAAAGCTCATAAGATATGACATAATTGACGATTGACATACCCATTTTTATACCTGCATATTTTTTTGGGCGGAATTTACATGTACATTTTTAACTTGGATATTTTTCCGGATGGAATTTACCATACACCTTGTTTTTACATAACCTATTCGTTTCGGGCGCAATTTACAATACCCCACATCGACTCGCTGTGGCCGATGGACGCCGTCGGGTCACCAATTCGATAACGTTTGAATTTGACTTATATATGATTCCATTCGTTTTGCGCGTTTCAGTTGGAAGGGCAGTATCTACAAGCTGCTGTGGCCAAACGTGATAATGTTCACGGTTTGTTATTTCTCGTTGAGTGTCATGTACAGAACCGTATTGTCGCAGCCGCAAAGAGAGTGAGAACCGTCATCTCGAGCACGTGGTCGCAACGCGTTCTTATCAATATTTTGTTTTTTAAAAAAAAAACACTCACATTTTCAGTTATTTCGAAAAAATTTCGTTGCACTGCCAAACATACATGAATCTGATCCCCGTGTCGTTCGTACTGGGATTCTACGTGGCCATTGTCGTGGGTCGGTGGTGGAGTCAGTACCTGAGCATACCGTGGCCGGATTCGTTGGCTCTGTACGTCAGCACGTTGATCATCGGACAAGTACGTATACACTGTTCACGAGTGCACGTTGCATTTCCATATCGGTGTCATTTGTCGAGTTCATCGCACAAAGCGTTCCCTTGGATGAAAATGTTATTTAAGTATTGAAAAATAAAGTTTCATTAGCCCGGATGCGAATACATAAAGTTCGTTTACAATATATACACTTTGGATTTTTCAACCTTTCTGGTCGTTTTTATTAATTTTTCACGAATCCAAGAGAGAATCGTTTTATCAACTCGTAAAGAACTGGTAATGGTTTAAAATTTTTTTTTCGGTTTAAGAAACTTCAAGTATTCATTAAATATTGGTAAATGAATTTAACAATACAATTTGATGGTATTCTTTCGTATTTGTATAGCATTCGGGCCTTAATTATACGGTAAATTTTTACTTTTGATTACAGTACAGTATAAATAATGTAATTAAAACGTTACACTCTACAGAACGTGTTATTTAATATATATAATATATCAATATTAATCCTTTAAAGGTTTCACAAATACATAACTATTTAATGCAATATAAATATTTTTTACGCAACTTATAGGTTATTTTAACTAGTATGACTCTAAGGGGCGAGCGCAGAAAAAAATTTCGGTAAGGGGAGTAGAAAAAATGTAAAATTTTCATATAAATGTTATATAATTATATTATATACATCATTTTAAAAACCCGGGAAACTTTTAAATAACTAATCATTTTTTTAATTAATTTATTAGTAATATATTTGTAAGTCAGATAATTTATTTTTTGTTCCTGATATTTCGGGGGAGGGGAGGTTAATCCCACTTGAGTTCGCCCCTGTATTACAGACAGCTAAAGATATGAGTACTTATATTTGTTATGATTTGAACTTTTTTTTTCTCCCAACATTATTGGTAGATTTTATGTTGGACCTCCCCCAAACAAAAATCTTGGTTACGTGCCTGATTGCTACAGGTGTTTGTAATCAAGTTTGTATATATCAGTGTACGCCATCCGAATTTCTTAAAATCACTTCCCGAAAAATGTATTGTACTTATTTTTCATAAATATTGTTGTTTATACAATAAACGCAGTATACATTGAGATTTATTTTTAAATTTTCATAAACGCAAATGGGTCAAGCAAAAAATCATAAATACAAATATGACTGATGTTCTAAAAAAGCGCTACATATTTTAATAATAAATAGATTGTCAAAATGATGTTCAAGTTTTTAATAAAATTGAATTATAAAACGATTCATATTTACATATTTTTCGAAATTCCTAAAGAAAAAAGTACGCATTTGAATAACTAAATATACAATTTTAGAATAACCGTTATATTATCAAAACTGTATATAATATAATATAATATAAATATATTTCTTATTGAATAATCAAAAAACATAATCGATTGCAGAAGACATTTTAATCATCAAAAAGATTAAATAGTTATAACTATAATAAGTTCCCGAGAAATTTTTACAATTACAATGATTGACATTATTTATCTAAAAATTTGATACAAAAATACTTCAACGATTCGTGAATAGTTATTTTTTCGTGTTTTCTTAACATCGACTTTGATAATTATAGAAGTAACGCCGTACTTGAAACAAATATGTTATCGGTGAAGTACAAACGAAAGCAATAAATCAGTAATGTAAAAATTATTATTTCGATATGCATGTGTTAATTTTAGTTTTAACTACTTTAATTTAAATCGTAATAAAAATGTTTTTTTTTTTTTTTTTTTTTTTAAAAAAAAGTCATATAGAATAGTTTATGCATACCTAGTTTATAAGTATACGTTTACAAGACGCGTAATTTATTTTCGAAATCCCGCGCAATAATAATAATGTAGTACCGAAAAAAAAAACACTATCATTTCATCGACAGAACGAACGGTCAAGATTAATCAGACGTACGATTATGAGATACGCAAACCTGAGCATACTGATGACGTTGACGATGATATGTCCGGCCGTAAAAAAGAGATTCCCGACGTTGGATCACCTGGTAGAGTCGGGGTTCCTGACGCCGGACGAACAGGACGCGTTCGAGTCGATGAACGCGAAGACCAGTCACCCGAACTACTGGATGCCACTAGTGTGGGCCGCCACCGTCGTGACGCAGGCCAAGAAAGAGGGGTGCATCGTGAATGATTTCTCGATCAAAACTCTAGTGGACGAGATCAACAAGATCAGATCGGACTGCGGCAGCCTGTTGAGCTACGACTGGATCAGCGTACCGCTCGTCTACACCCAAGTGATATGAATAATTATTGCATTGTTACGTTATAATAATACGGCGTTACAACGATTATCGATCGTTTCCCACACTAGAAGCAATCAGCTATCCCTTTCATTAATTACGATGTAATTGCTCTGGGTAATTACATGGTTTAATGTTGTAACAATGGGCTGAATTACTCGGACCCGCCCGGGAGATATTGCTGTATTTTAGACAAGAGCAATATAACTAATGTTAACACTAAGTTGAAAAAACGCATAATTTTCGTGTACTCTGATGATATTTATTTTAATTTATTTCTATGCACTATGTTCATTTACATTTACCTCAACGAGTACGACAGAGTACAATGAGTATTCAAAATCAGCGTATTTTAAATCAAATAAAACATTTTCAAGGTTACTATAAAGTGTGAAAATTCTTCGATCGACCAAAAACTGTTTCGATCTTTAAAAATATTAATTTCGAAAAATCCCGTTGCTCGTCTAAAGTGTATATTTATATGTACGTAGAGTAATCTATGTGTCGAATTTCAAGTTAATACGTTTTGTCATTCTTGAGGTGTAGCAATCAGTGATTGAGTGAATGGTATTCGAATCATATAGTACCTATATTACTTTATACCAACGGTCTACAAATGGTGAACCACGAAAGGCAAACAACTGTAGCTGGACCGTCAACATGTATAGCTTATATTTCTTGCGTCGGTAATTCAACTTTGTACATCTAACTAATACAAACACGCGCACATATACCCACACCACATTAAGTTCATATTTATAAACTTCAGCATAGGATTCTATTTTATTTAACAATATTTTTGAATTCCTTAGTTTCCGAACTCTTTGAAACCGCGGTACCCTGATTAATTAAACTAATAAACCAAAACGCAAATAGAACAATAGTCTTTTATGTCGAAGAAGAAAAAAATGTTAATAATTGTATACGTTTCGACAACGAGCACTAATTGATTTACACATTTGACAGCTCGGCACGCATTAGTTACAATTTAAAATTTATAATAAAATATTGAGCGGTGGTCGTTTGGGTGAAGGTAATCATTTTGGCAGAAAAATAAATAGGTCGTTTGGGCAAATATTATTTATACCGTTTTGGTGAGTGATTAGCTTTTACTATCTAGAATATAAAAAAAAAGTATTATGTCGTAAAAACTAAAAAAAAAATACATCTTCAACTACATTTGTTCATGACTTCGTGGTCAAAAATTTTTTTTTTATTATAAAGTTTAAAAACTAAAATTATTTAATCAAAAAAAATGAATCGAAGTGGAATACAAGTTTGTCGAAAACATAAAAAATAGCTTATAAGACGCAGCCTCATAGTACCAATAATTAGGTTAGGTTAGGTATCTTAAGTATGAAAATATGATTGGTACATATGTTTTTTTTTAACTGTTTTTAATTTTATCACTTATTTTCAATGAATCTTGTATCGTGTAAGCCCATCACCTTTCGAAAGTTATAACAAAATAATTTTATTTCATAATATTAGGTAACAACATTAGCTGTATACGTTTACTTCATCGCTTCGTTAATGGGAAATCAGTACTTGGATCCGCTTAAAGGGTATCCAACGCATCCAATTGATTTGGTTTTTCCGATATTCACATTCTTGCAAGTAATTAGACTATTTTATTAACTTAGTTATGCTCTATATAACATTATAATATATAAAACCGTGTCTGGACGTGTGTTAAAATATTGGAACTAAAAAATCTAATATTTTTATTATATATTTTTATTTTTTAAACCCCGTTAAAAGATAAAACAAAACAACTGAAATCGGGGGGGGGGGGGGGGGGGGGGGGGTAGAGAAGTAAACCACTCCAGATATGGTCCTCACACTATACACATATAATTTTTAGTTTTTCTTCTACATGGGCTGGTTAATGGTAGCAGAAACATTAGTGAACCCCTTTGGTGACGACGACGATGATTTCGACATGAACTGGATGATTGACCGAAACTTACAGGTAAACCGAATAATATTATACAAGAAAAGTAACATATTTATTGTAAAAACATAATAATGTAGATGTAAAAATTTTTCAACGTTTCTTGACTGCATATTCTCAAAAACTTTTTTTTCACTAAAGATAAATAAAAATGTAGTATACTTTTATAAGTGTAATAAGCAAATTTGAGTGTTTCAAAGAGAAAAGATATATAATGAAATAACGTCAAAAACGTGATGGAATAAGTCACCCTTTAGCAGCACATTTGATATGTTCAATACATATACTGTATAATTTGTTTATTTTTAATGTTAATAAGAATTTTTTTTTCGTTGGGGCTAATCTTGAATAATTCATATTAAGTCTTTTTTGTAGATTTTGAGTTAGTTGTGAAAACTTTTATAAAATTGATCGGATAGGATTCGCAGTGAAGAGATTCATAGGTCGTTGTATGGATTTGTTCGAAGTATATCATGAATAAACCGTGGATGGCCATTCGATAATAAGCCCTAGAAAACTGCCTAAAATGCTCTCAAAGGGAGAATATAGGACGGTTCGGCTTAACCTAATATTTGGATACCATATGACTTAACAGAAGTATAATATATATGGGTATTTTGTTTTTGAGGCTTTGTTTGGAAATTGGGTGGAGAAGATGAAAGTGTGAGTTACATTATTTTCATTTGTTTTTAGTATTATATAACCATGTAAATCTTTCATTAATAGTTACACCATGGCACATTTTAATTAATTAAGGGCATTATTTTTTCTTAAATGTAAAGTTTACTTGAATTGATTTTATTTCCGTTTAGTTTAATTTTCCATTTTTTTAATTAATATTAAGTCGTTCTAAAAAATAAAAGTAAAATATTGTAAATTAGTAAACGAGAATTTTATTATTATATCTGTTGTATATTAGTTCGTTATTACTCGTATTATATTCGATAATATATTATCCGTTTAAGTACAATGCATGTTTAATATTTATAATATAAACCATTAAAACTTGTAATATTTAAACTCTAAAATACATCAATTTATTTAAATTATGAACACATAACTGACACTATATTATAATGTGATTGAAAATCATTAAGATATAATAAACACAAAATATTATGTTTAAAATAAAAATAAACTACGTAGTTTATTCTACGTACGTAGAACTGTTCGAGCACTCATTAACTGTTCAAAATTTTATTGGGAAACGTGAGTTATAATTATTGTCTAACGCTATCTGCCTCCCTTAATAATATTGTTTGATAATATTCTATATTTTGAATTATTTGATTTCAATGCATGTTTTGATTTTTGTAAATATTATATACCAAAATCGGATGAATTTTTCTACTAACAGAGGTTTTGTGAAGTTTTCAGACACATACCATTTTTATTACACAATTATCAATAAATAAATTTCTTATAGTTCTTTATAACAAATAAAAATACCCGTAGTATCTTTAAAAATAATAGGCATTGAGATTTTCATACATTTTCTGCAATAAATATTAATATTAGAAAATAATTGAGAGACAAATTTAATAATATAAGTCGTTCAAGCGCGTGTATAACATAGCATATCAAAGATTACAGATCTTAAATCTTTATTAAATGTAATTTGTGTAATATAAATAAAATAAAAAGTTTTAACACAACTCTTAAACATTTTTCATCGCATCGATAACTCTGAAGAAACATGAGAGGGAGAAGTGGTATAATTTATTTGATCAAAATAAAGATTAAAGTTTAACCATATAACTTATATCGGTTCAACGAGTTCCACGTCTCGAAAATAATTCAATAATTATTAAAATGACAACAAAAATAAACTGTCAACTGTCAAAGTATATACGATATTTCTAAAATGTTGACGAAATTCACGAAAAGTGTACACCTCTATCTCGGAGCATAAATCACAGCTCATCAAGTCATCTATGAAATCATATTTGATAGATTATAGTTTCCTATTTAACACTGATTTATAAAACCGATATCATTATAACACATACTTTCAAACGGTTGAAAATAGTTGATGTCGAAAAAGTTTGGTACAGTGTACCATAATAATATTATTCCAATATCAATAAGTTCACAATGTTTTATAGTAAATAATCTAGGTACTAAATTGTCAGTGGAATTTTATTTTTTATTTTATTTTAACGTTTTGAAAACCCAATTCCGAAGCGTGTAAGCATATACAAGTATTAGAAAGTGCAATTCAAGTACGATATACATGTAAAATTATATTAATTCTCACGCAGGTGTCCTATGTGATTGTGGACGAAATGCATCAAGATAGTCCGAAGCTGACGAAAGACCAGTATTGGAACGATATATTTCCCACGGAATTGCCATACACCGAAGACACTAAACACCTACAGATCCCTCCGTTCATGGGTTCCGCCCAGATGATCGGAGCGCGATTGGAGTACGGTAACAGAAAAACAATTATCAATGACGGTGGTGACGAGCGAAAAGTAAGATTTTATATATAATAACAAATATGCGATTACGGACGTGTACGGTTCGAGTGATATACTCGTCGGGTAGGTAGGTATGCAAAATTTAAAAACAATTCAGTCGTAAGAAAATTTTTACCAACCTAACCTTCCTAGGCTCAAACCGATAAGTACGTGCGTTGTCAAATATACACGTACAGTGAAATGTCGCTTTGAGTGCATGTGTGCTTGTAATCACATATATTATAATATAAACTGTATCATTTGTTCGTGTATCACCGTTATATATTTACTACACGTTTATGATCCTCGGTTTTATTATTTCCAACGAACGATAAAACATGATTTTTATCGAGTGCGATTCGCCTCGGTGGAAGGCCATTAAATCGTTTTTATATCGTCATTCTTTGTTATTATTTATTTATTTATTTTTACTATTGTTTTTTTTTTTTATTTATTTTTTTTTTTTTCAATGCATAGGTCAATTTTCAGGAAACGAATATTGATGCGCTGAAGAACCCGGTCGAAACGTCCAACATGACCAGACAGTACGATAAAAACGTTTATCTAAGGGACGATTATTGCAATTTCTCAGGCGAGTAATGAGTTAAACGTTTTCTGTTTATTACATCGATAAGGCATTTGAAATCAAATGGTGTGCGATACTGAAATTATCACAAAACCGACCGTTCATATGATCATAAGATGGAAAGAAGAATGTACTACGCGTCCCCTGGTTGTACATATAGCTATATTTTTTCACCCTTTGCATATTTTCTAGTTTCATAAGCTTTAATGTTATACAATTATTATTATTGTGCTGCTTTGTGCGATATGGGAATAATAACCTATTGGCTATTCAGTTGCGGTTCACTAAGTCATTCAAACCTTAAACGAATAATGAAATAAAAATAACATCCGACGTTTTCGAAACTAAATCATCGAGTGATAACCAACAAACTAATAAAGCTCGTCAACTGCCTGACAATAATTATCAGAAATTTCTGACAAACCCATCGAAATCGTTGTTCTGACCGTTCGGAGAGGACCGCTACACGTTTTACCCGGAATTTTGCAACTTTTATAATTCTGTGAACATTATAGTAAATATAAATTATTTCGTCACCATAAATATTTACAGTGCTCATGACAAATGTTCGTTTTAAAGATAAATATCGCTCTATATGTTTACGTAATAAGCTAGTAACTTGCAACGTAGGTATACAATTAAAAACCGATTCGTATAAACCTATTGTTAATCGATAATCTACTAAACATTCATTTACAGGAGAATCGTTGGTTTCGTTGACCGACTTCAGCATAATTCCATGGCAACCACAAACATCAACCGAGACTCAACGCGTCCTAAAGAGTACGAAACCATCATCCGAGGTAGATTATTGGAAAAAAAAAAACAATAAATACAAATAAAAACGTTTAAACGAACCAAAAATTAATGTTTTTAGAACACTGATGACGACACTGATTGAGAACTTGAAATAACTATTCGACAGGCTATGATATAGGTTTCTATCGATTCAATATGATGAATTATTTTTAAATTGTTCTGTTAAAAATAAAATAAATACAATTTAATTATTATTCAAATAATCGGAATTTTTATTATTCATTAATCATATGAAATCATTTGATATTAAGGATTGGATATAATAGGTCAATAATACAAATTGACTGTTAGTTTACTTTATAACAAAACTTCGATTTTGATTTGGACTGCGATGACGAACGCACTTGATCGGGAACAGGCGGGAGCCGGGTCGAATGATCTGACGAATAGTACATTGCCTGAATACTCTGACTGTTGCCCTATGGAATACAACCTGTGCAACGACTGATACAATGCCAAAATACTTCGACTATTGCACCATTAATCGCTACAAAAACTGCTCGACAAGAATTTTTGGGGGAATGTCTTTCACCTGCAAATCTCAAGTCGATTCATGGTATGCCACACTACTATGCAAAGAAAATACTGTGCACTAGTATTGGGTTAAGTGTTCCTTTAGAACAAGTTCAAAGAAGGGGAGGGGGACAAATCGAAAAGATTGCACATACTCGTTCCTTTTAGGTGCAATACTCTTATCGACGAATTGTTCAACATTAGTATTTTGTATGATATGAGTATTATCCATAGGCACAACTAGTGGGGAGGCTGCTAGGGGGGAGTAGCCTCCCCAGACCAAGATTTAGCCCCCCATAAATATTCCATGTTATACATGGCATACCGCATACACCATACTTAACTTATAATAGTGTCACATACAAAAAAAGACACATTGCAGTAAATCCAACTTGACTCAGAATCTAAAATATATTAACATAGTACATAAGAGTAAGGATAATCTGCAGGTTATTTTAAGTTTTGGTAGGAGAGCTGTAGCCCTCCCGCCATATATTTTACCATAGTTACGCCTATGGTATTATCACGAAATAAACAACAAAAATACTATTTCCATTCCATTACGTTGGAACTACCTGGAGTAATTACTACCGTTGATTAAATATTCACCAAACCTAGTTTATGCTACTAACTACTACTATAAAATCTAATTTTTTTTTGTTTTTTTTTTTATTTTTTCTTTCTACCTAAATCAAGATTCCTTCGTGAACCAAGGAAACCATTTTCATATTTTACTCTTAATGTTTAATGGTATATATAAAATAAAAATCATAATAGTTTAACATACATAAAATATCTTTAGGCTTTTAAATAATTTGATTAAAATAAACCAATAATAATACTCTTTATAAAAATTATAAACAAATTAAATTAATTTTAAATAATTGTCCAGTCTCATTTAATTTTAAAATTTTAATTCAATTTTTCTTGTTTCTTTTTAGAACTTGGATTTTTTTTTTTTTTTATATAATAATATAATACCACAGCTACAAATAAAAGATGTTTCAGTAAGCTATAAATAATTAAAAACCATTAAAAAAAAAACTAAGAATAGGTCCAGATTAAATGATTTGATTATACTGGATTCTAAGGAAGACATTTGATAACATCGAAATGAAAAAATGATTAAAATATCATTAAATGAAAGAAGAATTTCTGTATTATATTCTTTGTAATATTTGTTTTCTTTTTGAGATGCACAATCTAATAATGATTTGTATTCAATAATTGTTTGAATTTTTAATATATCAAATTTAATACATAATAATACTTATAATACTAATTTGGTACAAAAAATAGTTATTGTTTTATGATACCAATTAATCATTTAAATCATATATCAATTAAATCAAAGTATATATAGTCAAATAGACACTAAAATCGGTTTAGAACAAATACTCATAAAAGTATAAAGGCAATTTTATTATTGGTAAATGCAGTTTTAAATATTGAAAATTTTCTCTATGATTATGTTAATTATTTATCCTATGATACAGAAACATATTATTATACTGTTATTGTTTTATATCACACTAGCTGAATTACCCGGCTTTGACTATGTGTAGTTTTTGCTTTTTCTAAATTAAATTCTTAATTCTTATAATTTACTTAATTTAATCAAGTCCTAAAGAATAGTAGTAGCTAAATTAGGAATAAAAAATAATAATAATAGTAATAATAATATTCACAAATTATTATAATGATTCTATACTACTAAATCATTTTATAAATAAGAAAATATTTTTTAATAAATAAAATAACTTTTCCAATTTTTCCATTTAAATTATAAAAATCTATACTGCCATTTTTATTTTTGATATTTCAATTGTTTACATTATTAATATTATGTTAAATTAAGTTTTAAATTAAAATTATTGCATATGTATATTTTATTTTATGTTTACAATAGTTATTTAATCATATTAAAGTATAAGCGTACTAATGAATTAAGAGGAATTGACTGTGGACATGGAGAAACGTTCAGCCACTGATGGATCACTTCGCCGAATTAATACGCCAATATTTGCTAAAGGCCATTTCATTACACTAAGCACACTCTGCAGAGGAGCATTTCTGAAAAATATTATTTTTTAATATGTTAATTAATATAAATGGTGGTAGTGGATATAAAATAATGAAATGGTATTTTTTATCTGATAGGTATAAAAAATTAATACTTTAAGTAAATAATGAATATTAGGATACACTACTTTTGAAATTATTTTTTTTTAATTCTTAACCAAAATTTGGTTCTAACTGTATGGAACAGTTGGTTGTTACAGCATTACAAAACATAATGCTTCTTTATCAATAGAAGAAATCAATATCTAATAAAATTAATTAATAATTTCAATTATAGATATATTAAATATTTATTTTCTTCAAATTTAATTTAATAAAATTTACTATTGAATTAGCAAGCTCAAAACTCTATTTTTAAAACATTAGTTCAAAGTGACTTATAATGGCATCTAATATAGAATAATATGCACGAGAACACTAATATTGTTTATTGTAATTTGTTTTATTCGTGTAAAATCCTTGGTTATAAATGTAATTTCTTTCAACGTCAATTGTAACAGGAATATGAAAACTTTTAAGTATAATAGATCCTATTAATTGCAATTACACATAACAAATTCATAATAATAATTCAATGAATATCAAGTATATTTTGTATACTTTATAAAATAATTATGTTTAGAAAATTAAAAAGCATGAATCATATTACATGTAATCATATTACATGACAATATTATATTTGATAAGTTTTTTTACAATTGTACTTCCTTTTTTTTATAATTTCTTACTCAAAATATTTATTACTTTTGAGACTTCTTCAAAAACGAACAAATATAATACATACAATATATTCTATATTTTAAAAATATTTCTCATACGTATACTCATATATTATACATAATAAATTAATATAAAATGATTTGTAATATATTATTATATTACCTATGGCTTGAGCCCTTTCTTTAGTTGTATCTTTGTTTATTTTATTTTGTAAAAAATTTATTATTAAACCAAAACTATAATATACTGCTTTACAAATTTTAAATGACAAGACCACCATGTTTCACATAATCTAAAATTGGATAATGATTTTATTTACATGGATTTTTGCAAATCTTATAATAATTTATCTTTACTATATTGTGAAAAATGTATGTAGACTACTTCTAGAGCACTAAATAAAGTATTTGATTCCTGTAAATAATTATAAAAAAGAATAATTAGTAGGTACAAATAAATTGAAACATAATGTTAATAAAAATGTATAAAATATTAAATAAGTATTTATTATTATTTGTATATGCATCTTTATGGTTCTACAAGTATTTATTACAACCAAATTCAATTTATAGGCCATACAATGAATAAAGTGCTTCATGGTAAGTCTCTTATTCTTGTTTAAGCACCAGATTTGGATCTTGACATAACATTTGTAACATTATATGTTTAAACCACAAGAGGAATATGAAAATACAGAGTTTTTTAAAACAGAAAAAATGTATTTAAGGATATTAATATGTTTGGCTCCTCTTTCATTTGATACATTATAAATTCCAATAAATTGTTTACATACACTATAGCTATTAGGAATAATGTATTTTACATGTAGGGATACATTTTCTGTTTCATAAGATCTAATGAAAAAAAAAATTATGAAAATAAAATTACATAAAAATGTATTAATATCTCATTTCCAAGTAATAGCCTAACTTTCTAACCTTCCTTGGTCACACATAATGGAGTACATTTTACAGACTTTAATTTCACTAATAATAGTATTTATTTTCATATTTGAACAAACTTCAAGTATACTATTTTGAATGATCAAACTTGTATAGTTAATTGTTCTGTTAAAAAAATCTGAAAACTATATTGTTCTTGACAAATAATAAACACTGTTCTTTAATATTTCCTGTAAACAAGTAATTTACTATTTACAAACAGTGAATGTTATTAAAATAAATCTTAATAAATTATATAATATATAATAGTATAGATACCTACATATATAGAAACTGTTGATAACATTTCATCATGACCTCTTAGAGCAAGTCCTTATTTAGCACATATTATAAATACTTTCATATTTTGTCTATTTTTAAAACTTCATGCAGTTGATAATTGAGTAACTAGTCAATTTTGAACTGTTATAGCTCTTATACTGAGTAGTTAATTTTAAATGTTGAAAAGTTTTTTATTGTTTTAACAATCTCCCATTCAACTAAAAAATTAATTAATAAATTAAAATAAGAAAATTTAACATTTATATAGATTGAGATACACAATTCTTATTAACTAACGTATTTTCTTTCTGTATAACATTTTATTGTTATGCCTAAGATTTATGAACAATAATTACTTTTAATCTATATAATTAAATACTCAAATAAAAAACATACTTTTCTCCAATTATTATATCCAGTTTTGGTTAATTTTTCAGTTTATAAATTTTTTGCAAAATAAATACAATCCAAACAAAAAACAGCATTACAAGAGACATTATTTTCTAGCCGTTCAAATTCACTGTAATATTCAGCATTTGAACATCTATTACAAATTTCAAATTTTGTTAGTGTAAATTTCTAGAAAAAAAAATTGATTTAAAATTGTCTGTGTCAAACAAAATAATGTAACGTAGTATATTAAAACATTTTAATACATTATATTATTTATCAAGAAACAAGTACTTTCTTGTTTTATTCTTATTACACTTAATTTATTATTTATGTATTTTCTATTTACTTGAAGTTTAGGTTGATTGGGATCCGAATTAATATCACTCAAATCATCAAATTATGTATTCAAATTTAAAACATATTTTTTCATCATCGTCATTATATTCATACCGTTCTTGATTACCTACATATTTTCTTTGCTTTAGATTCATCACAAAGAACAGTCTTGTCAAATTTACTTTTTCGTGTACATGTACTTTGTATTATTTCATTTCTAATGTTAAAAATTGAAGACATACCTACTTAAAATCAATCTAACTACTTGTCATTTTATTAGTCAATGTAAGTAATTTCAGAAGAACAACTTTTACTCAAAAAGGGTACTGCGTCACTACAGGTAGGTATACTGATTTACGACATACGAGTGTTGACAATACTTTACATAGGTATCTAATATGTATTCACGTTGTATAAAATATAAAATTAAAACATATGAGACAATATTAAGATGATAAGATTTATCCGTTATAATTAAAGAATGATTAATAATAATAAAATTAGTTTATTGATAAGGGATAATGTCGATATTAGAAAAACGCGCGTAATTTAAATTGGGCCAATGAAAACACGATATTAAAGTGCTGCGCTGTGGCGTCCGTATAAATACAATAATATCCACAATTCTACTACTAAGGACTCAAGTGAATTTTGATAAATTTAACTGTCAAAAAAAAAAAAAAATTATTACTTTGCAAATTTTTATACAGTAAAATTTCTATCTGCATTTTTTATCAATGTTAAATGAAAAGTCTTAAAGCTTTTCATCAAAAAATATAATTGTGGAATGAAAAGTTGCAAAGTGTGTTGATGGAACAGGCCCCTGGGTTAACTAATACGCAACAGGTTCGCGAAAATATAAAAAATAAAAGAGAACATATTAAAATAAAGACATTGACTACAAAACGCGTGACAACTGGCTTGTGTATATTTTCGTGAAGCATCAAAATTTTCAAAAACATTTAACAGAAAAATATTTTATCCATGTAACGAGTAACAAATACATCCCTACATTGATACTTCTATTCTAGCACATGCTAAATGAAAATATTTAGAAACATTGAAAAATAATTAAATAGAAATGGACATTCAAATGAGGATGAATAGAAACCATTCAATCTACAACTGACTTCAATATTTCGTTGGTTAATATTTTTTTATAATTAAAATAAGTTGTTGTATATTTTAATAATATTTATATTTAAATAATATTTGTTGGCAGCAAACCACGACGCTAAATATGTAGTATTATTATTGTATACTATAACTCTAAAACTCTAGAAGAAAATAAGAGACTCGGTCTTTCTACCATCAATAACTTCCTCATATTGTAAAAACCACCATGCCCAATTTCTCATCAATTTTCATACAAATCATTACTGTTTTTTCTCTCTTTTTTTTCTAATTTGCAAATTTAAACTTTTAACTAATAATCTTTGTTGAATCCTATAACTCAAATGAATTATAGGTGTACTTATTATTTTTCTATGTACTGTATTCTTTTTTTTTTTTTGTTATTTCAAGAATTATTCTAAAATACACAGTTAAAATTATTTATTATTTTGATGTTAAGGTGACGCAGTGTTTTATTCTAATGGCTAAATGTGACATGAATGAGTAAAAGATGAGAATCACTATTGTAGAGTGTTATCTCCTGCTGTTTTATGGCGTTGGGAAAGTGGCGTCCCCATCTCCCAATGCATTACAATAGCTCCACAAGAGTCCTAATAGTCTTTTGTGGCTGGTCCTCCAGGTTAGGGGTTGATCAGAGGACTAAGACCCACCATCGTAAAGAATTATTGATCAAGAATTCATCAATTCACCTCGGAAAGTAATAGAATGAAGACTGGAAAACTAAAAATTGGTTCTACGCTATGGAACATGGTACAACCGCACATTACATCAACCAGTGACAGCTTTAGTATTAGTTAGGCATTTTAAAGAAAAAGGTTAGAGATTTAAGCTATACCAGATATAAAGTGAAGCAGACAAGGTTCTATAGAAATAGAATCCAATGATACTTTTTTGTAAATGTGACAATTGTAGACGAGAAGGCACTGTTTGTGATACATTATGGGTTTTTTTTTGTATTTTATAGTTTAAGAAAAAATATAATAATAATAATTTCATTACGTAAAATATCTTACAAATTTAAAAAAAACATAAATATAGACAAATAATATTCTCATCAATATCTAATTAATATTTAGAAAATAAAAAAATTTTAACTTTTCATACTTTAATAACATTTTACAACATTTATATTAAGTATATTTTTTTTTTATCATAACTAACTATTGTTTTATTTACACATCAAATATAAGATTGTCCAGCTACTAATATCCCTTTAATTTTCAAGCTTAGTATTTTAACGATTAAATTATAAATATTTGTACAAAATATGATTTATCCAATATTACATATTATTTATTATTGTACACTATATTAATTTCTTTTTAAAAACGAAATAATAGTTGAGTATTTTACTATATATGTTACTATTATATAATCATTGAGAATAGGATTCAGATTAATAGGTTTTTTTTTAGTTTTCGAAGATTTTATCAATGTAGAGATTTATTGAGGTGTTCTAGAGGAGTGAAAAGGTTTTATGTTAAGTTTTGAGTACATTATGAGTAGGATTATGGTTTTTAGTTCATCAATTCCCACTATTCTTAGTATAAACATATAATATTACACATTAAACATATTTTTTTGTTTTCATCTAAATCACGTTTTCTTCTGGAGACATGGTCCCTCTTTTATTTTTTATTATTAATTATATACAAACTTAAATTATTTAAAAGTATAAAAGTCATAAAAATGTAATTTACATTGCAATATTAAATTTTTTTAGTAAAATTTTTATATTTACGTATAATATCTATCTCATTATCAATGATGTGAAATTCAGCACATACCCTAGGTACGTGAAAATGGTTTTTACATAAATGATAAAATTATAATAATATATTAGCTATAGGAATTTTTAATTTGATTAAAAGAATTATCTATCAATGCTATTTCAACCTACAATATTATCTCTTGGATATATAAAAATATATCATATTGCATTAAAGTTTTTCAGTAGGTAGGTACACTTATATGTACTTAAATTTAAGGAATTTGACTGTATAAGAATATACCAACGATAATCAAAAATTAGATAAAAAATCAGTTGTAGAATTTTTTTATTCTACAACTGATTTTTCATCAATAAATGTCATTCGAAATACAACCGATACTATTTCGTTTAGTATTATTTGCACTGAATGACATTCAAAAATATTTTATTTGTTTGAAATTACATGTGTAATGCTACACATTAAGGAGCTAAGTTCCATGTATATATATATTTTTTCAATTCTTTCCTCCTTAAATACCAACTTTTTAATTTTAATAAGTTGGTTAAACATAAGTTAAATTATAAAATATATTATTTAATTTATTGAAACTGAATTAACACAGTCTTCAAAAATATATATATATATATCATTAACTTAGTGTTAGAACCACAGTACGTCTAAGCATTCGTAATGCAGATCGCACTCGTGAATCACCGGGAAATTATACTACCTAGTATTTTTATCGCACCTTAATCATCTTCGTATTTAAACGCATAGATAATAAAAATAAATACATTTTTTTTTTTTAAATCGTAGACACTGAAATTAAATTTTTAAAACATATGTATGCGAGATCGAAAATAAAACCTTGCAAAGCAAATTTATTGGATCTACTGTTTTAGAATCGGCAGGTCACGCAAAATAACCAATATCACTTGGGGAAGCAGCTACTTTTTGCAACACTTAATTGTTTATTGATTATTGATTATTTAATAGAGTTATTTATTTAAGCTGGGTAATTAAAAATTGTGTTTGATTAAAGTAATATTTAAATTAGACAGGTTAGATTTAATTATATAAAACAAATATGGCATTGATTTAAAAGGAAGGGGACAAATACTTTTATGGACAGGTTAGGTAAAAAATGCTTTGAGAATTCATCCCTACCCCAACAAAAATTATTCAATTTCGATTCAATTAATTCCAGTATTCTAAAACACCTAGTTTAAATAATATTTATTAAAATATAATTAATAATAATAAATTAATGGTGGTCAGCTACGGTAGCATGGCCAAGATATAACATGGTAACTAAATGAAAAACACAAATTACCATTTAGATAAATTTAAAAATAAAAACGATAAAAAATTGTCAAAAGTATCATATTTCTTGATTCTAAAGTATTTTACAAGGTAAAATAATAAGAAAAGTATTTTTCTAAAAACCGATAAAATAGTTGACTATACAATAGTTCCATAGTAAATTAATAAAATAAATGTAAACTGTTCAATAAATCACTTTTAAGATACATATAAAAAGATTTTAACCTCTTTAGGTAATTCAAGTATTTTTCCATAAACAATGAAATTAATTTCTCTTCAAAATTATTTGCTTTTACACTATAATTGAATAATAATTAATAAATAAAACTATTAGTTACATAAACATATTTAACTGCACTTACCTACTTGAAATTTTGATAAATTAAGTATAATTTTTAAAACTAAATTCATTCAGTTTCACCATTAATAACTCATGTAAATCTAAATCGCTATTTGTGCCAATGGTAATCGAAATTTTAAATAAGTGAATTTTTTTTTCGACGGTAAAATGTTTAAATGTCGAACATGATTAATTTTATGGCAGCGTATATCGTATATCCTACAATTAATACCTTTAATTTATTTAAGCTTGAAATACATTTTTGGGCCACTTACAGGCTTTTATACTTTTCCAACCACAAAAAATGTTAGAACTTCAAAAAAGTATTTAAAATAAATAAATAGATGGCACATTGCATTTAACACAATAATAGCATACTTGAGTGTTTAAAGAGATAATATTTTTATGGTGCTGATAGTCGAAAAATAAATAATTTAAATATATTTCTCTTTAACATTATTTGAAACTTCAGTAAACAAAATATAATTATAAGGCTGAAAGGTGAATTCACAAAAACTAATACACAAGTATTAAACATCTTATTGAAAATAATAAATACTTATGATCAATAGGCATTATTATAATAATTGATACAATAATTTGAAATGTTTGGCTTATATTACTGATGTTCACTTTATCGTGTATACCAACTAAAAACATTTTTACTTATATTTAATATTAAAATACAGTTCTTATTTATGTATCTCGTAAAAAACACGTATAAACATAAAACAATTAACAATAAATTTACAAATTAAATACATGAGCAATAATAATTCAATATAAAATTGCATGGTAAAAAAATAAAACTTTAAACGGTTATAAATAAGAACATGGTCTATAATCTAACAATTTTCGCTCCACATGACGGCAATACCGTATAGAACTTAGGGTTTCTTTTGTACTCCGAATTAATTATAGTAACAACAGAGTTAACGGCATTCCGGTCCACCTGAAAATTACAAAATAATCATAATAATAATAACAATGATAATTATATACAGTATGTACACGTAATTTTACGCAATAAAAAAAATATATAATTGTCCTAACCAATGTCACTGTGCATCCGCCGAAACCTCCTCCAGTCATACGAGACCCAAGGACACCTGGCACTTTTCTGGCCAACTCTACTAACTGATCCAATTCTTGGCAAGACACTTCAAAATCATCTCTGTAAGTTAGTTTTTAATTTTATGATTAAACAAGTTATTTATTTTGTTTTAAATGATTTGCAGTAAATAATGTGCTGCTTAATAAATATAAAACATTAATACAGTAACGTATATAAATTTTCATTTTGGAGGGCGCCGATCACGTGTTTGATTTTTGAGGGAATGGAATGAGGAAGCATACTATTACGACAAAAATTACTTGAACACAATAAAACTTCTCGACTGTCTTTACACTATCAGAGAAATAAGAAACTCAATTTTTTTAATGATTTATAATTTTAAAAAGAAATATAAAAACTACATTTTAATAAACAATTTTTTTTTATTAGAGTCACCCAAAATTCACCATTACCTTTACATTCACCATATTTTTTTTATAAAAATAAACATATTTTATAAATATCAAATTTTTCGCATTATAAATTATCGCATAAGCAACATTCTCAGTGTCGTGACCAATTTTCGGAATAACCCTCAGCCTAAAGACATATTCATGTCAACAGGACCGGATTAAGCACGAAGCTTAGGAGCCCGGGCTCCAGGCCCTAAAATATTTAAGGCCCCAAAGGGGCCTTTTATCATAAACCCAGTTCAAAATCTTTTAAGTTTAAATTTTATTTTGGTTATACATTTTTTTAATTTTCGTACTTGTATTATTTGTATTTGTAATTGAGATCTCTAATAAAATAAATAAATACAGATGAAATTATTGTGGAGTTCCAAAAAGAGAAGAGAAAATAAGAGAATAAAGTTAATTTTAAAATATTATAATTATATTTTTACATTTAAAGAATAATATTGTATATTTGCATATAACGAAAATTGATAAATATTAAAAATTGTTAAAGATATTTCTGTATAATCAATTACTTTGTATCATTTTTTTTAAGAAATAAAATTTTGTTATCGGTAATAAATATTATAAGGATTAAGAGCCCTTTGACTTCTAGACTCCAGGCCCGATAAACTGTTAATCCGGTCCTGCATGTCAAAAATAACAATTTTTTAACAATGGTGTTTTTCATTTTGAGGAGGGGCTCCCCCAATAAATATGCCCCTGCATTAATACAAGTATAGTCTGATGACAGTGTTTCTTTCAGAAAATTATCTCCGGGAGAAGCATTAGAAAAAAATCGGGGTTCACTTTTTTTTTTTATATATATATTTTTAAATAAGATGTTCCTAGCCTTGGCTATCTACATCTATTGATGATTACAATAGGGGTTCACTTATATTACATCAAGAAAAAATGTATTTTTTGATAGTACTCGAATTACTTTTGTCTGATAATTATAATTACGAAAAATATAATTAAATACACACATTTTAATAAGCTTAATACACACATATATTATTATTATATATCAACATTATTTTTTAAATACATTGTGTATTAAGTTAAAAATACAAACAACAAAAATATTCAAAAACAAAATCTTTTAATCTTACTTTTATTTTTTACATTTTTAAAGGAACTGAATTTGGTGATTTTTTTAAGCTGCGTATAAATCTACCATTTAGTTTATTGTCTAACAATATAATCTATGCGATGACCAATTACTGATTTCCACCGGGAAAAATAACTGAAAAAATAATAAAGTATGGTATTGACTTATATCTAATGACTGTAGGTCATTCACCGTGGTATTATATTTTTCTAATATTTTATATATCTTTACTATTTTCCAAATTTTTCCCGGGCGGGTTTTGAAGATTTTTCAATGGACTCAACTCCCTTCCCATAGAAATTCCTGAAAGAAACACTGTCTGATAGTCATAGACACGATTAATAAAATCATAAGAGTATAAATGTTAATCCATTTCGTAAATTTAATTAAATATTTAACAGCCAACCAATCATGTGAACCAATAAGGTTATATTGCAATGTTCTTTGTCACGCATTTCTCAGTAATGCATACAATTCAATTTTGTTAATACCTTATATTATTAACTATAAGCTGTTGTCATTGTAAAGGTAATTTCTTATTAATTTTAAATTTTATTTATTATTCCTAATTTCAATGTTTACTGAAACTCATGTTTCCATTATAAAAATTGAACATTACAATGTTTAATAACACTTAAAAATGAGTAATTAATTAACAATAAGAGATAATGTTTTTGAGTGTTACAAATTGATTCATAGAGTTCGATAAGAAATAATATGATTTCGTTTGTAATAACTAAATTGTTGTTATTCAATAAAATATTGTTATGCATCTGTAAATTAAAAGTATTTATCGAACGATTTGACTATGCGAGGATGGATTCGATGAGGATAGAATTGCTCGTTGGGTATTTATTCAGTTAACGAATGCACTTTACTCTGAAAAATCTTAATTCAATCAATAAACATAGCAACAAAATCTGGGATCATCTAAATGTATTTGAAAATATAGTTTATTTTTAAAAAAAACCCGAAATTGCAAGAATATTATCCATTTCACAAATAAAAATATTAATTATATGATCAATAATTGTCGATACTTAATTAAAATTATTTTTAATGGCATGTAAAAAATTTTATTTTGAACGATTTCTAAACTAGAAATGGAATTAACTTAACTCTAATTATCTCTTGCCTAATCACTGAAATTTACAATTACAACTATACATAATCGTTAAATTAAAAACAAAAAATTTGACCATTTCAACAATACGAATTATAAATAAAATAAAAAGTGAATAAGTGTATGAGATATAATAAAATCCATGATTTTTTTATTTATATATAAATAAATAAACAAATAATTTATATATAAAAATAAATAAATAAATAATTAAATAAATGCTTATGCTGTAGTGTTATTATATTTATAAAGTACGACCGATTTATAATTAAAAATTCATCACCAAGTACATACAAATACAATAAAATCTCGACCTCATGCTAAGAAATTGTTTAATTATTTATATATTTATCTATGTATAAATTATTTATTTATTTATTTACATATTAATTTACGAGTATTAACCATTTACTCATTTTAAATTTTATTTATTTTTTTATAATTTTTTATTAGTTATAAAATAATTTATTAATTTATAAAAAAATATATATAAAAAAATATAATAAAAAAATAATTATAATAATATTATAATTATAATATTACTTTAATTTTATAAATAGAAGTATTCGGAACGAATTTTTTTCGCGTGTTTACTTTTACTTTTCCATCAGCTAACTTTTTTAACTAATTCTAGCATTCATTCTCAATGAATTGAGCAAAAAAATAATGATTATAATATTATAACTGAAAAAGTATCATTTGATTGAAGCTAATAATTTTTCACGTAAACCATGGTTAAAAAAAACTATTTAAAAATTTAACTCAGGATTCTGTAAAATAATGTTAGTTTATTTTATACGAAATAAAACCGTTTTATAAACAGGTGTTGTATACAAATACATTTTAATCATTAGATAAAAAATTGTATATTATAGTTCTAACAATACAATATAAACTAGGTCAAAACAAATGTGGTTTTTACAAAAACTCGTTTGTACTTAAGTATGAGTGAGAAAGTTTACACACACCAATAGCACCTCCTGATATTATTATGCACAGCTTTAAAACTATCAATCAATAGAAAATCTATTAACAATACACGCAAAAAATCTGACGTTTAATAGGTAAAACTATATAGGCTTAAAAACTATTATAATCACGATCGTACAGAATAAAAAGAAAATATTGTAATATTTTACATAGGGAATATAACGATCTTGTTTTTATAGATATAAAATAAAATAAACCTAATATTAATTATTTTATTTCAATAAAATAAAATATAAAATGTAATCGATAATTTGCAAAATAGTTTGCTCTAATTTCAGAGTATAAAAGCATTTAAAAAACTGTAACATTGAGGTAAAATTATTTTTAATAAATTATAATATGTGCGCTAGTGTCATTGTCTTTTTTTTAACGAATGACCTTGTATTGCCTGCCGATATTTAACGAACAATAAAAACCGTTACAATGAAAAAAAAATCTGTACATTTAGGTTGATATTGTTAACAAAATACACAGTATAAGCAACATTCCAATAGAGTAAAAAAATTATAATAACGATACATTTAATTATTCATTAAGTATGAACTTTATAAGTTTATATAAATAAGAATAAAAAGCGTATAGGTATTAATGCGAAAAAAATTCAAAATATACCATAGACAACAGTGATGCATACGACTAAACCATTTTTCTTTGGAAATTACCGTAGAATAAACAACTACCAACATTTATCTCCCATTTATTAATCTCTTAAGACCAACCACCCGCTTTAAATGATATAATTTCATAGATAATATTCGAAGTACGTTGTATACATTTTTTTTCTTGTAATTACCTACTTACACATGTATACTTGAATATTGTCATAATGCGAAATAATTAAATAAATATTTCTAACTATAATAGAAGCACATTGTTTACACTTGAACAATATAAAATCGTCAATTAAAACAATTAAAGAATAAAAATCGACACGGCGTCGCGATAACATATACGAAAATGAATAAATTACCTCAGAGAATTATGGCTAGCGTTCATAAGTTCGCCAAACGTTTTATAATCTCCACGTTTTAGTACCTCAGCAGCAGTTATGGTTCGCTCGATTTCTGTTATAACATGCCTGGCCCGTTTGTAGATTATTTCATTCATTTTCCCGTTGGAATGCGCTTCTATTTCAAAAACAATCAACATCAATAATTACTAGTATTCTAAGAATATGCATTTTATCATAACATTAGTTCTACATTACTGTTCAAGGTTTCCATCGTGGCTGATCTGAGACTTTCAACGTTTATCAAGTCACTGGCTTCTTCGCACTGGTATCGTCTCAACTGGTATTGGCTATTACTAAGCTCGTGATGAACATTCGAATTTGTTATCAAAAAAATGTAATTGGATTCAGTCAATGGAACGGGATCATATTCTAATGATCTGTAAAAAACAGTTACATAAACTAAATTAAAATTGGTAAAATAAAAATCAATTAACAAAACATTAACCAAGCAACAACATATTAAAATATAATATGCTGTAAAAAAAAACTATCAGCTTAATTGTACACCATTACACGTAAATATCAGAAAACAGAAAAAATCCTTTCGGATCAGTATTATATCAAAATGGTCTTTTTTCATATTGAGAGTGGGGGAAGGAATAAAATTGGATAAACTAATTATCTTACATAATAAATTGGCTGCGGTTAAAACTGTATAAAATATAGTACGTTAAGAAATACATAATATGCACTGACTTGCAGTCTATGAGTAAAGCATGACCTTCTATTCCCATGACAGAAATAAATTGATCCATTATACCACAAGGGACTCCGGCGAACATGTGTTCTGCTTTTTGACATACCATAGCTTTATGCACCAATCTGAAACATATGAGCGCACATTATTGTAATTTATGTTGGTAACCACCGCACGTCGATATCATATGCGATCAAAAAGTTTTCATTACTGATTTGTTTTATTTCCGGTAATAGCTTCGATGAACGAATAGGTGGCTACTTCTAGGGAAGCACTGCTGGACAGCCCACCACCCAATGGTACACTGGACAAAATTACGGCATCGAAACCTACCACTATACCTAAAATACACAAGCGGAAAATGTTCATAATAACAATACGTATACATTTTATTGTACACAAAATTATTTTACACGTAATAGTAAATATAATCCAACGTGCATATATTGTCATTATTAGGGTTCGGGACTTGTTGCATTTGTATATTGTTTGATAACAATTGCAGAATAGTCTGAATAATATATACATTTGTTTTAAATCATAACGGATCGAAATACAAAAATTTTAATTGCATGTTTTCGCATATTTCGCCGTTTTCTGAACGAAACGCATATTTTTTGACCAATGTTGGCAATTTAATTGTTCTTCATAGCATATTTACGCAGTTTTCGTTCGATGTTAAGCAGATATATTTTAAAGGTTAACATTATTATTTTTTTTTTTTTTACTTTCATGCATTGGTCAATAGAATGAGTCAGGATAGGGCAACAAGTAAAATACCTAATTGTTCCTGCGTGTTCTATCAGTTACCGTATATCATTTAGAGAATTTTAAAGGAAAATAAGGGTACTTTCCTGTTATACGAGACTACCCTGTTTTTCGATCACATCACAATCCTGTTATCTAAGACTACAAAAATGATACTTTCCTGTTATACGAGACTACGGCTATTATCGCGACTACCACCCAAGACTACCTCCGTTATCGCGACCGGGATAATGTGGCATAATTTTAAACCGGTTTATTTTAGCAAATTTTAGGGAATTTTAGGCCTATCTCAATTCTCAAATGATATAAACGATATTCATAAACTACAATTATATTTATTATATTATATATATATCATTACGTATATTATCACCTTTTTATAAAAGTAGACTGTTCTGCAGTCATTTCGCTGTAGTCGTCTCGTCTGTCTCGTATTCTCGTTAGTTACGTTTGTTGTATTTTTCTAATTTTTTTATTAATTAATTAATTAATACGATATGGACATGTGGTCTCTACCTCAAAGTGAAGAGGATACAGTAAAGCTGCTTCAGGAACACGGTATTTTACTTACGCAAAGACAATGCAAGAATGGTCATGACGCTAAATTATACTTCGGAAAATTGATATTTTGGAAGTGTAATATTAAAAATTGTCAAAAAAAAGTAAGTGTCCCAAATAACACTTGGTTTGAGCACAGTCGTCTTCCATTTGTTACTGTTTTGCGGTTTATTTTTGCTTAGAGTCAAGAGTTAACTTCAATAAAATGGTATGAACAACATTTGAAAATAAATAATAATACAGTAATAGATTGGAATAACTATTTGAGGGAAGTTTGTGTTCTAAATATTGAGGCAAGGAACCAAGGAAAAATTGGAGGACGCGGAAAAATTGTCGAAATAGACGAAAGCTTATTTTCCAAGCGCAAAAATAATACAGGCAGAATTCTTCCACAACAGTGGATTTTTGGAGGTCTATGTTGTGAAACTAAGGAATGTTTTTTGATCCAGGTTCCTGATCGGACCATGTCTACTCTCCTAAATGAAATATTATTAAATATAAAAAAGGGAACAAAAATGTATTCTGATTGTTGGCGGGCATACAACTCTAGTGAACTTGAAACAGCGTGTTTTAAACATTTTACAGTAAACCACAGCAAAAACTTTGTAGATCCCCAAAGTGGAGCACATACTCAAAATGTAGAACGTCTATGGGGATCAGCAAAATGGGGGAATAAAAAACATCGTGGAACTGCGCGTCATCATCTAAAATCATATTTAGCTGAATTCATGTGAAGACAAAATGCAAAAGAATTTAAATTCATCGAAATTTTAAAAACAATAAAAATTCATTTTTTTAATTGTATTTTGTATTTAAATTTTTTCTTTATTTAATTTTTTAAAATTTGGCACTTTGTAAAATTTAAGTAAAATACATTATGAATAACTACTATGTATTTAAATTTTTTCTTTATTTCATTTTTTTTCCCCACAATACATATTATTAAAAAATAATTCAGGAAAGTACCATTTTAAGTAGTTTATGATAACAGGATTGTGATGTGTGACGAATATTTAAAGGTAGTCGCCATAACGGAGGTAGTCTTGGGTGGTAGTCGTGATAACAGCCGTAGTCTCGTATAACAGAAAAGTACCAAAATAAATATTCAGTTTGTATTTTTCATTGTAGGAGAAGATGAAGAAAATGAAATTGAACATACAAATAATATAATGTTTTAAGTGTTATCGTTGTATAAAAAATGCTGATTAAAAAAATGGTCTAAATTTAAACGAATAAATCAAATTTTTTAATTGTCATTAAAAAAATATTCAGTTGCATGTTTTTGCGCATATTTCGGTTATTTTAAGTGCATATTTCCTAAAATGTATGTGCAATAAGTCCCGAACCCTAGTCATTATTAATATACATAACGGTGTAATCAATGACTAAATATGGATGTACCGAAAGCATCAAACATTATAATATTGTCTATCAATTTTTCGAGGGAAAATAAAAAAAACTCGCACGAATGAATAATTCGTAATGGTCACTAATTTATCTACTATCGACTCATTGTTCGCTAACGACCAAACTAATTAAACAATGTATTATACTTATTCAAATAAATAGTACGTGCCTATGGGTACGCACTTTGGAAGCATGCGATCACTCCTTTGACGTAGTTGGCCCATTTAGGTGTGCCCACGTACAGTGGTTTGACGGTAGGAATTTTGAATTCGGTTTTGTTTGAATCCTTGATTTCCTCGAGACTGCTACATTCAGTAACCACACGACAAATGTCGGTGTTGTTGGCTCGGCCTAACACAATCGTCACCATCGGCAATGCCTACACATAAATACAGTATCACTTGTATGAATTATGACCGTCATAAACAAACATCCTAAGAAATATAGAAAAACTCTGCGTACTATAGGTATAATTTAATGAAAAACAGTCTGAAATGCATTGAGCAAAAAAAGAGTATTATCATTAGAAAAATTATATATGAAAACCGAATATCATAAAATTTAAGATTAAGATGGTTTATATAAGATGTTAGAGATTCACACTAAACATCAATTTATTATATTTTAGTTCAGAGGTCTCCGAACTACGGTCGCCAACCAATTTCAACCGGTACTCCAAAGAACGACAAATAATTTAAAAATATGTGTCATATCCAAAATCATTGTCATGTGTAAACTATCACCTGTATCATAATTAACGAGTTAAACGATTACATTTTAAAGAAACATTGAGAGAAGTTAGTCATATTGACAACATTTTTTTAGCCCGGATTCGCCTAAAATATAATTTCTCAACTTAAATCCAATGCCAACAACGATTTCCTGACCTTGATGCAAAATCTAAATAAATATTTTTTAAAATCCATTTAGTAGTGATATAAAATAATTGTCTCCTACTCTCTCCTACTTGCCTTCTTGCTTGCCTCCAAATGGAAACTATTGATTTGCAATTTAATGACGGGATGTACATCACGAAGAAACTTTTTGATTTTTATAAACAATTATTCTAGAAATACCAATATTCAAATTAAAAAAAATTGCAATCGAATATCTATAAAAAGCTATGGAGAAAAACGATGATAATCAATATTCCTAAACTTTTTAATAGTTAATAGTAGTTTAGTAGGTAGTAACTGTTTAATAGTTTTATAGTTTCAAAACTCAAAAAACTAAAAAATAAAGTATGAAATAGTTCAAAAAATAATAGGTGGTAATACAGCTAATTTTTGATAAAATAAAAAAACAAATTAAATTTACTTTTCAAAAAAAATGGCAAGATGATATGATTACAAGATTTTTTGATTTTTTGACTTTTATTGTTTTTTCCCCATATATACTCATATATGTATATCTAAATATTTATTTGAGTAAACAAACATTTTTTTTTAATGAAATTTAACAAATCAAAATATAGATCAGCCATGTCTGACAAACATTTTGAATCAGTTTAGAAAATTGAAACCAGTAACATATAACTTATAATATATTTATAAGTGTATATACTTAAAATTAAAAATTATATTTATTCATACATTTTTGACTCACTAAGAGCTTTTGATATTTTATGTGGCTCTCAAATAAGAAACTATTTTTTTTATTTTTAATTAAAATATATTTAAGAATTACATTTTAAGTCACTAAAAATAACTAATTATTTTTAAAGTATATATATTTAATTTTTTTTTACTAATTAGTTTACAATGTTTTACACTCTTGACATAATTGTTACAATGTATTTGGTTGGAAACAATCAAAGAAATAACAAACCAACAACGATATCAACACATAGTGAAACCAGTGACGCAAAACGAAGCTGCAGTCACCAACTCAAAATAAATTCACAACACATCGTGTATAGTAATCCAATATTCAGTTAATAGTATTAATGCTTCGAACCTGTAAATATATATACTTATAATCAGAATTAAAACTGATTTCTAAAGTTAAAAGAATATAGAACAAAAAACCAAAACTAAGCAAAAACTTTACTCGCGGTTACATTAAATTACTTGGTTAGTTCAATTTAACTTTTTCTGAGTTATTTATACTATTCACCATTGTAGTAATTATAACACTATAGAAAAAAAAAAGTCGAAAGTACATTTAACAATTTCCATTAAATTAAAACTTACTCGTGGAATAGTAGGGTCGACAAAATACCAACAGAATTGTGGTTCCTTCAATAGAAATATCAAGTTTCAAAAAAATCTCAAAGTAGGAGTATCATTCAAAAGAGATGAAAAATTAACAAGTTTTCCGACGTTACAGAAAAATTTAAATCTGTATTCTGTGTTTTGTTTGTAAACTTTGGAATTTAAAAAGTTTTATCTTCGCAATAGATAAAATAAATCTACTATAATATTTAACCTAATTACTATTATAATCTACTAATTAATGTATTGGTTTGTTTTCTTTGACTTCTAACTAAAATTATAAATATTGAAATATTTGTTAGTTTTCGTTCAAAAATTAGCTGAACATTCAAAATCATATTTAAAAACAAATTATCATACATAATATAAAAATAAAAACAATAATTCTCTTTTTTTTATATTATATAAATTATTACATCTAAATTTAATATTAAATAAAATGTTAATTTTTACTGAAATATTTTAAAGTCAATTTTTGAATGCATTTTGACTTGAACCTAATGTTTTAGATATTGAACGAAAAGAAGAATAAACCTTAATTTAATAGAAAACTATAAAAGATTTTTCAAACTTTAAAATTATCTGTTTAACTGATTTTTTTAGTATTTTAATTAGTAATTACTTTACCAAACATACTATTTGAGCATTTTTGATGTTTATTTAATATTTACATTTTGTTATAAAGTTATGTTTAGTTTCTAAGCATAAAAGTATATTACAAGATATACTATTCTTGTTATTGTAATAATGATATAAAATTAATTATAAGACACTACAACACACTATTGTTATCATTGTTTTATTTATTTTTTTGATATGTATATATTTATACACAAATAAACAAATGTAACTCATATAAACTCGTCGACAAGGATTTTGTTTATAAGAGTCGTTTGAAAATTACAGACTAGTACGACTGCACAAGTTAAGTAAACATTTTAGTTAGGTGATAAACGGTCTACACACGTTTAATCTTCAGTTCAAATTTAACTGAAAGTGTATGTATTTAGGCAAGTTGAAACGAAACATGAGACTGACTACACACTACTAATATTGTCCATACTATTATAAAACTAAAATCTAAAAAAAATAATATAAAAACGAATCAAAATGGATCAAAAATTGATTCGAAAAACAAAGTACTTTCTCGCACGTATATTCCATACAAGAGTTACGTTTAGAACTAGACATAGATACAATATTTAATGCATTCAATATTTTAATATAAATTAATTAAATAGTATTTTATCCAAAATGCTTAACTCTGTGTAATATTAATAAATAAGGATATACAGAACGTGATCATGGTCGTTCGCGCCAATTCGAAAAATCAAGCGTGACCATTTTCGTTCATGTCGTGCTTAAGATTAAACGAGCCTTCAGTTTTCGCATACACACGTTAAAACTTGCTAAAACGTACAAGCTACCTTTTTCTGTCAAATTTGAATGTAAAGTTTATACATAATATAATAGGTTATACATAGGTAATATAATATAATGGTTTATAACCTTAATCCAATTATCAATTTATAATAATTTAAAATACTTCGATGAGGTAAAAGAAATTAATAATCATATCTATATCACAAATCATTACATCAAAATTATTTGTATTAACTCTCCTATTGTTAAGAAACTATAATAAAATACTATATTCTATGGATGACATAAATGCAAATTAGACATTTTGAAAATAATCAATAATAATTATTATTATAATATATGATAATGTATAAATTTAATATAATTACAATTAAATTATAAAAACTTTATCTGTCGTATAGTTTACTACTGACATTTTTCGATATATATATATATCAATTAATATATATCAATTAAAACTTGTAGATAACTTTTTTAATATTAAAAACAACAAGTTATAAAAAAACCGATTACTGTACAATAACAAAACAAAACAATTTATAAATTTGTGTTTTATTGGTATTAACAGTAAGTGTTAACAAGTTTGTTTGGTTTGTTTGAAAAACATTAATTTATTTTTTATAGAATTGTAATATATTTTCCTAAAAATCTAAAATGCCTTTTAATATATATTTATTTTAAAAATTCAAACATTTTTTAAAAATTATATAGGTAAGCCAAACTGCTGTTATACACTAACGTGTTTAAATGTAATATAGTTGAAATTTATAAAAAATTTTAATATAAACAGATTCGAAAAAATATGGAATAAAAAAAAATATTTTGTAAGTACGTATTATCTACGCGACTATACAGGATGTAACATTCATACGATAAGGTATTTAACTTACTTATTTACCTACATTTATCAGGTTTTTATACATACTTTCAAGTATATTTAAGTCATAAACAGCTCTCGGTGTTAGAAAAAAGGAAAGGTGGCAATGATAAAATATAATAAAAAACTGTAATAAACTATAAACAGTTATTCGAAGATACACACACAAAATACAATAAATACCGATAAACCAACTATTCATGTTTTTGAACGATAAAATAATTATGTGCCGAAGACTTGTACCCCGTGAAACTTTCTACTAATCTTAAACATTATAAACCAAATACTCAATACCTACAAATATGTTTCTGATAAACATTAAACGAACACTTTTTTTTTTTTAAATAAATTAGCTGACTTTGTAGATTACTTTGATAAATATTTAATTGATGCTATTTAATGAGTTCGTTTCTCATTATAAATACAAAGTAAAGCAAGAAAATACTTTGAAGTTTGAATCTGCATTGAAGTATATATAGTATATATATATATATATATATATGTGTGTATTAGATTAAGCATTACGTGAAAATTAATTAATATAGTTTATGATTTGAATAAAGGAAAATAATATTTGATTTGTAATACCTATCTAACCCAAACCTATATGTTCATTTATAAAACTGTATTGTTGTATTTATTTACTATAATATAAATAATATCAGAAATATAAAAAAATAATTGCTATATTATTTTTCACTTATTATTAATATTACATTTATATTATGTTATGGGTAACTTTTATTATAACAATAAATTTACTATTAACTACACAACACTTGAATTTCTAATAACATATTTAATATATAAAAAACACAATTTTTATAAAGTATTTGTTTTTGTTATTATTATTATCGTTATTATAAAAAGGAAACGTATACAATCTGTGTACACAATTTTATGCAGGTAAAATACCTAAAACTTAAAAGTCAATAAGTTTTAATTTAAACCATATCCTATAAAATACACTTCCAATTGCACAACAGTATTATCCAAGTTTATACTAGGTCATACGTTTTATTTATTCATAACGAATACAGTCAAAAGTTAAAAAAAAAACTAAGTATTAATAATGAACGATTGGGCATAACATTACAATCTATTCTATTTCTGAAGTATACTGACAGTGTAATAAAATTTAAGCATTTTTAAAAAGTTGTATATGATACATATATATATATATATAATTATATACTATAAAATCGTAAGTCTCCGTATAATCAATTAAACTTTAAGTGAGTAAAAAATAAATGGTTGAACAGTTCCAAATTTAATATTTTGTGTTATGGTTATATCACAACATATATTATATAAAATCTAAAAATAATTGTCCAAGAGAAGTTCTTAAAAAGAACAATATCACATAACACTTCTTTAGATATATATAAAAGGTAAAAGGTATAATTTATTATATAGGTAATAAGCAGGGCTCGGGAGTTAAAGCATTTGCTTATTTTTATGAATTGACTTAAAATGTAGCAGAGTGCTATAAAAGTGTATGTCAAGTTATTGACACGTACAATTATGAAATTTGAAAGTGCTTTTTTTTGTTTTTTTTTCAGCAATTTTTAAAAAAAATGCTTATTTCCAGTTTTTCTGATTATTTTTGTTTATTTGATCAGTTTTTTTACGTTTTTATAGTTTTCAGTTACAAAGTTGTTTTTGATAGAATTAAAATTAAAATTAATTCTAATCTACGTTATCACGTAGTTCGTCGTCATCTAAGGCATCGATGTAGGGTCAACATAGATATTCCAACGCTGAAAATAGAACTGAGTGTCAAACGTCAGAATGATCAAGAACAGAGAAAACAGTTTACATTTTATTTTTCAGAAAAATCCCTTAGAAAATCTATAAAATCCTTTGTCTTGAAAATGAAGATTTATTTTTATTTTGTTTAATTTTTTTAATTAGAATTTTATAGTTTTTTTTTTAAATAAATATTTTTGCTTAATTTATAATTTTTTAAATACTTATTTTAGTGCTTATAATTTTTAAGGGCTTATTTTAATAATTGTACGTGCTATAAGTCCCGAGCCCTGATAATAATTAATAAAAAATATATATAACACAAATGTCTAAAAATCACCTTTTTTTTTTTTTTTTTGTAAAATCGTTTAAAATAAATTATAATTTATATGGATAGATTAACAAAAATACAACTAAACAACTAAAAATCACCTTCTTAACCATAACTATGTTTATTATGATGGTATTTATTTATTTTTTAAAATTATAAAAATTAATATTTCAATGAAATATAATGTATACTAAACTGAACAATATCAATACTCAAACTTCAATAATTAAAACAAATATCTCATATAATTTTATATTTAAACCTAAAATATGACGAATTAAAAATGTATACGAATACATCCAAAAAAAATTAGTATCGAAGTAAAATCAAAAAAACGTGAAATTTTCAAAATTCTCTATAAGTTACAATGATTACTAAAAAATTATAAAAATTAATTGTTTGCGATAAAATGAAGAAAATAAAAAAATTAGTCGATATTTCAAATTTATCGAATTCATATTTTCAGATTTAAAATAGAATATATCAAAGTGAGTTATTTTGCCGTAAATAATAAAATAAAATTATTTTGGTTAATTTGCATTCGTTATTCGAAAACTACCTAGAAATTCTAAGTATTAAGAGCATGAAAATAGATTTTATACAATAACCATAGCCAGGATTTTTATATGGGAGGGACTAAACAGTTTTTAGGGCAGATTAGGTAAGAAATTCTTTGAAAGGTCACCCATAACCTTCTCCCCAATATCAAATTTAAAAAATGTATTCTCAACATTTTAAAATAGTTTTACTAATGTTTATAAAAATATAATTAATTACAATAATAAATTAACGATGGTCAGCTGCGGTAGTATCGCCACGACATAACATGGTATAAAAAACTATAGTGCTTATAAAATGTGAATCACCACTATGTTCACGATAACCACCAAAAAAATAGTAAACACGATATAAGTACGACTATGTTTGTACACTAATGTATTTATTAATGACAAACACCCGACATTCGTCAACATTTAGTTACTACCAAAATTTTAAAATATTTAAGTATTAAATAGTAGTATACCAGTTTAGAAAAACTACCTATAAGGAGGGCTATAGGCTCTTCTTTTGGCTACGCCATTGCTATATTTTCACGGTTAAAGAGAAATTTAACTCAACAGCTAATAAAGATTACCGTACAAATACTCCAAAGCGTTATCGCAAAAATTTTAATAGGAGGAAGGGTATTGCACTGGCTTTGAAGATTCTGAGAGAAGCGTAACGTAAAAAAAAAAAAGGAAATGAAGGCGAGATTAAAAATGAATAATACAAATATTTTCGACGAAAATGATATCGATAAGATGATAATGGGTATAATTAGGTTATAATTATATAAATTAATATATATATATATATATATATATATATATATATATATAATTTTATAATAATAATAATCATTTATATAAATAAGTATATAATTTCTTATTTTGTGCGGTTAATATTATTTAATTCAAAAGGCAAAATAGTTTTCTCAGAAAATGTGGCATTGAATCAGAATTTCTTTCTCGAAGAGCCTTTACCGTAACATGAAACATACGGTATTATATATTATATTGATCGATTCAATATTAAATAAAAATTGTTTAACGATTAGAATTTAAGCCATTACGACTACGTCGCCGATAGTTTTATAATGTATTCTTTAAATACAATACTCTAATCGTATAAAATGGCTCACGTCACGTGTGTCATATGATTAATTTATAAGTAGCGCCTCACTCTATTAGTTATACTAAGTAATTATTAGTTATTAACTAAGTTATATTAGGTAATCTTAAATACTTCATTTAATATCATAAGTATGACTGACTAGATACTATATTAATTAACTAAAATAGTCTTAAAAATAGTTTAAATTATTGTTATTCGAAACTTCTAAAAAAAAATTAAACACGAGTTCTAAACAATACTAATTATTATTATGCATACCTAAAATATGGTATTAATCGTTTAAACAATAAAATAAATATATAGCTGAGTATAGAAGCTAGTATACAATATAATAATAAAAATAAAATAATATTCGCCACACAAGCGTATGACATATTATGTCAAAAATTACTCAGTTCTTATTATACTTTAAAGGCCACTTTAATCTCTACTTAAGTTTCTTAACATATAAAATATTTACTCACCATGGGTAACACGAATCCATCGTTATAGTCTGTGTGTTCTCCAATTAAATTTACTCGTCCGGGTCCAATGCCCAATTTATCAGGTTTTCCACTATCTGGGAAATGTTTCACAAAGAAATCGAATCCTCTTTCTAATAGCTCGTCTGTTGTTTCTGTTTTAATTATTGACATATTGAATCTAAAAAAAAAATATAATTTACATTTAATACAGAGGGATTTTTTATTCGATAAAATAACAAATGCAAGATACAATTATATTAACATTTGAAAACTAACCAAATGTAAGTAATAAGTAACAAACCAAATGTACACCATGTAATATACAAAAACAAATATTAAGATTAATTATTTCGTTGGTTGATGGTTGGTTGGGTGCACTGGGAACGGATGAACTATAATTGACAAACTCCTAAACTGTCTTTTTTATAATTTTTATTGATATAATATATTAGCTTCGACAAATGATACTTTATAATTTGATAATAGAAAATAATATTTTATGAAAATATTTCTTAATTAAATTACTTAAATCAATAGATCAATTAAATCACATTGTTTTCAAAAATAAATCGTAATTTAAATTTAAAGCATGTTCACTTGTACTTGTCTACATAACAGTAACTAACCATTTATCATTTCTATAACAGACAATTGAAATTTTTTTACTGAATAAAATATTTTGATATACGTCATAAGTCGCTATTTGTGGTCTTAATTTATTACCCTGACGTAGCTGAGATTCACATGACGCATTAATATTTTATGTTCTTCCTTATATAAACATAATAATAATATGACCTAAGTTATTTTCAAATTTAAATTTAAGAAAATCATCTAAATATTGTTTAAAATTAAGATATTTAACAACTATAATTTTGTTCAGTACATTCGTTTTAACCGAATAAGTAATGTTGTATATTTTAATAATAATAAAATTATCGCATAATTCTTGTAATTCAATGTACAACATTACAACGGGTAAACATTTTACGAAAAAAAACTATGAAAATTTATTATTTTTTTCTATTTCTACTACGCTTTGTGAACATCAACTTCTGTAAGTACATACCTAAATCGTGTAATTTAGACGATACTTATGATATTAATAAAGAACTTATATTATAACTATAAAGTATAAACTTCCAAGCGTATATAAATTGCTTATAAATAGGGTACTTCAACCCTTTAATTAATTGGAGACTTAAAATATATTTTACGTATTTATCGTAACATAAATACAATGACGTCAAACCCAATATTGAGGTAAAGAATCGGTGAGATCCATAACGCAAAATCGCTATTTTAAAACTAATTGTATTGGGTTTCATTAAAAAAATATTGTTCCTAAAGTTTAATGAATATTTATTAGGAACATAACACATACGATAATATATAGTAACAACAAAGCTACAACAGAACTACAGTAATATAGGAATGGAACCTTTTTCAGATGTATTTCTTATATTTTTATAAGCTTGGCACTACAACTGGATTAATAAACGAATAAAAGAAAACAAATTATAAACACAGACCAATTGTTTACAACCAGAATAGAATATATTTATTCCCATAAAAATCGTTATTTCAAGCTCAGGTGGCATTTTTTTAATGAACACCGATTACCAATAACTAATGGCGTAGCCAGGATTTTTAAATGAGAGGAGCTAAACTCTTTCACGGGCAGGTTAGATAAGAAATCTTTGAGATTTCACCTATAACCTCCACCACCACCACCAAATTTAAAAAAGTATTTTCAGCATTTTAAAATAATTTTAACAATATTTATTTAAATATAAAAAATTGACGGTTGTCAACTGCGATAGCATCGCCACGACATAACATGGTATATAAACTATAGTGATAATACAATTTAAGTGTTAAACGAGAGTTGCCATAACGTTCACGATAATCACCAAAATGATAGTAGTAATCACGGTAAAGTCTTACGCTTATGTATTTACCAATGACCAACACCCGTTATTCGTCAAAATTTAGTTAATACTAAAGTTTTAAAATATTTACATATCAAATAATAATATACTAGTTTAGTACATATACATAAAAAAGACTCATAGGGGGTATAGCCCCCTTAGCCATCCTAACTACGTCACTGCCTATAACTATATTTTAAATATTTTTAATTATTTCACTTTGAATTAAAGGGAAAATTAATTCCCGTTGCAAGCGTTATTAATTAATTTATTAAACACTAACAAAATAACATCTCGATATATTAATATATCTAAATCGTATATTTTTATCAGCAATTTCTAATCCACGAATAAAATGCTAAAAAGTTACAGGATGCAGGACATAATCAAAATTCCTGTACCTAATGACAGGCCGGCATGGCACGCGTTCACTGTGGTAAAATTTTAAGAATACTAAACACGATATTATTCATGTAACAAAGGAACAAATATGTAAATTGTGTGCAAAGCGGCTATTAGTTATCAGAGTTGTATACATACGAAACTGATCTCTACCTGAAATAATAAGGTACTTAAACAGTGACAACGTTAATGTTTTAATTAAAATTACAATTAGATATTCTGTAATAGAACTTTATATGGTAAAAAGTATATAATTTTGATGATAATTACATTTGCATTTTTTTCCGAAACGAATATAAATCATATGCGTGAACACAATATTTTTTTCAATGCAAAAAGTTTTAACTATCAGGAATTTTGCATAGGCCCACTAAAACTTGAAGTGACAGACATATTATTCATGTTATAGTTAACAACAATGACAACAAACTTTAAAATTATTTTCAAAAGTAAATAAAATAACTATCACGATAATGACTATCAATCGTACTATACAAACTATTGTTACCAGTAATAAGCAGTAGGTATATACATTATATTATACTGTTATGTAACTTATTTAATTTTAGAAACGAGTTAGGTAAGGTATTTTTGTGATTAAACTGAAAAACGATTAGGTAGAAACCTACCTACATTAGTGTTATACAGGTTAGAGCTGCCTACATACCTATTTAAATTTTTATTTAACAGAGGTTTAAAACTAAATTTAAATGGATAAAACGCCATTAATGCCTACAACTCACAATTTTCTGTTTGTTACATCATTTTGCTATAATATAAAATTATAATCACTATATTGTTTTAGAAAATATAAGATTAAAAATAACTGCAGAGCCGTTGATAACAAATTAATCATAACTATTATTGATATTATTTACCATAATCGAATTTAAAATTTTGAAAAACGTTTGACGTAGTCTTAATTGACTATAAATAATTAACATCATCAAATCATGTAAGATCACAGGAATCATATTTGTGGATTTAATGATAATCATATTTCCTTAATATTAAAAACTGAATGATCATAATTTGAAAAACCTACAAGCCCGGAAACATATATTCAAAAAAAAATCCAATGAATTCGATTTATATCAACCTACTACAGGAGTTGTTTCCAAATTGCTAAATTCCAATAATATAACCATCGTTTTATACTAACTATCCTATACTTCAATGTATAAACAATAATAGGTACCAATAATTACAGATGCCATCCCGCTGTACACAGGAGCGCCTAGCACACGTTGCTAAGTTTTATAAAAGATAAAAGGCCTAAACTACGAATCCACCGTCATACTAAATAGTATAGTAGGTGAGAATAATTAATTCAACAAAACCGTGTAAAAACTAACGTTTGTGTTTATATTTGTGTATACGAAAATAGAATGCAGAGGTGCCCCGATGTTACGTGATGTGAGACACAAATTCACATTTGAATAATTCAAAATAATATGTAAACACACATATATATATATAAATATATTTGTTAGGTATATGTGTATAAAATAACGTGAGCAGTGGGTGTATATTGTGGCGGTCCGGAGAGGAGGTAAAAACGACGAGACATAATTTCAATTCTACAACACGCTGTTGATTATTACTTATATATGTTACAAAACACGTTGAAATCAACGAGGCGACCGCTGTGTTCGCACAACGCTTTTTTTCATTTTTGAATAACGATTAAAAAAACCACGTTAGTCTCATAACCGACCACTACCTGTCCTCGACCGAGACACTCCTGTTGCCACCGGTACCGGAAGTCCAAAACCACGTACTAACCCCTATAAGTCGTCAAAACGGGAAATTCGTGAAAATAAGTTATGTTGTATGACGAACGATCGTAACGTACTGACTTACCGTGTGCAAGTAAACGACGATGACAACCGTTGCGGGTGGACGCGTACAAGACGAGACGCTGGAATTTCACGACGGCGGCAAAACGGATGCGAAAAAACTGTAGTGGAAAACGACGAAAAAAAGACAGGGGAGGAAAAAGAGAAATAACAGAACGGGAGAGAGTGAGGAAAAAGAGGAAAAAAACTTAAGGAAAAGGGACGTAAACAGTTGACAGATTTCGCAACGCGAACGGTCAACGGACGAACATGCCGGTCGCGCGGGCAAACCAGACTGAAAACTCCTCGGAAACCGTAGTGATACGATAAAACCGACGGGGAAAGAGTGAGAGAGAAAAAGAAAAAAGCGTACGCACACACGGTTTTATTAGACTGCCGGCCTGCGTGCGTTCCCCCCCACCCTATACTCGCGTACACGAACGTACACGTACTCACGTACGCACACACGCGCGCGCCGCACGGACGACTCTGGGCGCGCTCTCAACACACACACACGCACGCCACTGATAATGGTGAAACATAATTATCGGAGATACGACGACGCGTACACGATAATAATAATAATATATTATATATCCGTATGCGTCGTCCGTCGTCGCGCACAGTGTACGCTCACATAACAAAATTTTCGTTAAAATAATTATAACGTTAAACACGTTTTGTAATGCGTCACGATCGTGTAGGGAGGTGTTCTCTCGCACGCCGACGATAATCGTTAACGATGACCAGTAGAAAAATTGCCGATGACCATACGATTTCGCGACTACCCGTCCGGGTGTTGCCGTTGCGCGCGTTGCAAATTAATAATCGACATGGTCGTGGGGAGATTAGGTTACTCCGGTACATCGTTGAGATGTCACGTTTCCGGAATTACACGCGTAGTCGACGAACAATTTACCTCTTTCGGTGTAAAAGTACCCGTCCGCGGAAAAAGACGCGGTTTGTCGTACACAAATAATACACTTGGGCCGGTAAAACAATGCTACGGAACGAGTTACGACTCGGCCGAATATCACGAAAAATCAAAAACGAAAGAAAATAGCCACTGGATCCCCGCCGTAAATGATCGTGATGTCGTCATCCCCGCACCGTTACACAACGGAAAAAAACGTTCATCGCACTCGAGTAGGTTCATAATAATATATTTATTTGGAAAAGTGGGAAAAGTGCAAATTACAAATTTACAAAGCGTCATTCGACAGAGAAATTATCTTGAAACCTAATTGCACGTTTTCATACACATTGTCCACATTGTATGATTCTGACCGCTTTCGATATTCGACTTTCAACACTTCGGTATGCGGAACAAATAATTATACAGAAAATCCGACACAGTTGATGAGTTTATGCACTGGTGTAACGATTAGTACAGAAATAATAATAATAATAATAATATTACATACTCTAAAGACGATTATAACCTAACCGTATTTATTTTTCTTTGCGATTATTATTCTGATGTATACGTGCGTACGCGGGACACTTCTGGACACAGCAAAATCAGGAGGGATATACCAGTACGTATATGAGTATATTTATATTTTTTCGCGTTCCGAACAAGAAGCACTCGCAGCGCGCGTTCCCTTCTCACGCGGATCTGAAAACAGCAGCGACATGTGCGTGCGTACACGAATTTTTGGGGCACCGGACCGTTTGTTGATAATAAATTACAATATACGTATACGAGACCTTGCACGAGTTCACCGGAACTATGATGGTTGGTGGAGGAGACACGAAAAGTCGGGATCCCCTTCCTCTTGGGCAGAGATGAAATATCTCGCAATACGTACGCGGAATGCACCGACAACGGTTTCTCACGTATTCTGCACCGCACACGAGAATACGTCTACTACGCGCGCGCCTATTCGATTTTTCGTTTTCTTTATGTGATATGTAGTACCTACGTATATTATATTCAGTCCGGAGATTTGAACGGAATTTCGTTTAAAAGACAACGCACCACAAATAATCATGTGGATTTCCATCGATGTTCCATTATTATCATGAGTCACGGTCGTGGCGATGGCCGACCCTGCGGAAAGGGGGAATCGCTGCGGGCTCCTCAGTCGAATGTTTTTACAACAACGTTGAAATTGAAAACGCGGTGTATAATATACGCTACGTATGCAGCGGCATGTAGAGAAACTTTTAATTTGTACACAAGACCATTTTGGTAGGAACCTACATATACTTAAAAGTTATGTGTGGTAATTGGTCGAAGTAGTAAACGAGGTATACGAGAACAACACGCGACGACCGGCAACCTTTTCCTACGTGAAATATAATTAGAAAAATATCGTAAAAATAAATGACTTATTATTATTTAACTCTTATGTTTTGAAATGTCGTTCCTCCGTTGGGGTTCAAACCTTGAAAAAGAAGACCACGTGCTGGGTACAAAATAAAATAATAACTTTATTGTTTTTATACTTACTACTGCTATATAGACCACACTCGACTGTTTCCATACGCGAAAAGGTGTTTATTTTATTTTTTCAAAATAAAACAAGTGTATTATTGCACCAGTCAAAAACTTGCCTTTCCATAAGCACTATTATATTAACTATATACTAATTTAAATGCCTGTCATTGCTCGAGGAATGTTTTACTATTTTAGATGAAAACAATTACTATAAATTAAATTATTTCAATGTAATAAAAAAATATAAGTTGAAAAAAGTTCAAATTGTATTTACTATTTATATTTATTTCTATTTTTATATTTAATTATTTATACTTATTAATTTGCTATAATTTACTACAGTTAGTAATTATTGAAATCAACATATTAAACAAACAAAATTATTTCCTAAATAACCACAAAATGAAAAAATTTATACATCCCAGCCCAAAGCTCAAAACTGTTTCAACTCTTAAAAAATGTAAATAATAAATTTCCGATCATTTCTTAGTGATCCTATACATAGAAATAAGTACATTCCCTCAACATTTCAAATGAATCGGTATGGTTGGTCTGACTGCTTGCTGATCAGTAAGTTATTGAATGGTATTTGAACTATGTATTATACCTATATATATATTTAAATTGAATATAATATAATCAATCGCTAAGTATAAAGTTTTGTTTTTATACTTAAACTACAGTTTGTTGGCAATTATTATTTTATTAACAAACTTGTTTTCTAATGTAATGCGATTACTTTCGCGTTGCAGAACGATGTAATTGATTATTAACTAAAATAATATTTTATATAAATGTCTATACTTACGATGTTAGCTATAAGCAAATAAAGGTATTTTAATTATACACGTTTATACATATGAATAATTTTTTCTCATAAATATGAGTATTGGTTTTCGTCCGATCTCGTGAGGAGGTGTTCGAATGAGAAAGACATAGATTGAAAACGATTAGGAAGAAAACCGATCAATTTATCAAATGTAATATCAATATCAGCACATCAAATTGTTTTTGATTCGCTTCTACATTACTGGAGAGTCCTACAAGAACTGAGTCTACTGGCTAAGTCTACTATACTGAAAAATCGCGACTCGCTGGTTTTTATTTTTAGGCAATAAATGAACCTGTTTATTACACACGTTCACGTCGTAACAAAGAACACATATTATAGTATAATTGCTTATTACTCGCGACATAATAACGACACATACTCCATCGTCGATGTTTAGGATTTAAAAAAAAAACTGGATTATAATTTGTTTGTTCAATAATTTTTTTACTCGAACCCTCTAGATGTTCAATACTATCTTAATATCTTATCATTATTCTAATCGCCACAATGCCAGACCATTAACATTCATCACTTTTTGTATTATTGTATTACTATAAAAAGTGTGTTCTTCTTATATGCTTGGTTTTCAAAGATTATAAAACCTATTATTGAGTCATATTGCGGTGTAACATAGTGAGTAATCACGGTCGCCGACTGGTCCGCTTCAGTTAACTATGCACTCCTTCAGTAACTAAATTCATGGATGGTGACCCATCCCAGAATTTAGCGAAATATATATAAGAAAATCACCCGCGAACTGAGGCCATGTCAGTTTTCAACTACCTTCATACTCAGTATGCACTTGTATCTACTGCTACAAAAAAATTGTGTTTCTTACATACTACAATTTTTTTTAAGGAACTGTTGGCTATTGTTCATAATATATAGAAAATAAAAATATTTTTAACGATTCATAATAATATTTGTACTAAAAAATTAAAATAGGACAGAGGATAAAAAACATTTAATTCAGCCCATAAAATATGTATACAACAAAAATTATATAGATGGTATACCAATGTCAACTAGATAATGGATTACCACGTATCATATATAAGTATCATATGTACTCGTAGGTACAATTGTAAAAATAAACGAATTTCATTCGATATCTTGTGATTTCCTTCATGATATGACAGTAAAATATTCATCGATTTAAAACTTAATGATAATTTTATTTAAATGTAATTTTAATTAATCGTATATAGATTGCACATATAAATTTCCTAACAAGGCTGGATTATTGATATAATATGTTAAATGTTTTTTAATTGTACTGTTATCACTCACTTAATTTATGTACTTCACATGTATTTTGTAAATTGCCGTTTGGCGTAAATAAAAAAATAAAATAACATTAAAGGGTTATTACTTTTAGTGAGGCCCTTTCACCCAAAACAATTTCATTTTTTTATTCAGATTTTGTAATTTGTAATAAATATTAATTAAAATAAGTAAAGTATATTTGTATATTGTAGTATAGTCACAATTAATTATAAAACACTACTCTATACTTGTTAGCTAATGATTATAAAACCCATTGGACCCCATTCAAGATATGGCCCGGGTATATATCCCCCCCTTGATTCAACTCTGTTGCCTAACATAACCAATAAATCATCAGTGCAAAAAAATAATATCAGGTACCTATTCTGTGCGCCATGTTGTAGTTTAAAACATTATTGGAGATATATATATATATATAATTTAAAATTAATAATTAATAATAAAATAAGCTACCCCAAAATATAAATACACATTATAGTTACTAACATAAACGAATACTACCCAGGATTAGATAAATAAATATACGTGTATAAGTAATCGTCTAATGTATACATTTTATAATAATATATTCGTTATTATAATCATTATCGAATAAAATATAATACTCGTATTCTGTAATTTACGTTTGGCCCATTCAAATCTATAATTCGTATAACGCATTAATTTATAATGTAACCATTTATACCCATTATTATAAAAAGCTTTTTATAAATTATAATATAGAAAAAATTCAAATGTCAATAATTTATTATTTACTATTCAAAGGTGACTATTGAATGGTT